CGCCCATATCCACACCACACGATAACCAAGCTCATTGAGGTTTCTCGAGAGTTCAAGTTTCTGCTTTGTCTAACGTTCATTGATTTAAAGAAGGCCTTTGATTCTATCGAGACAGAAGTGGTCATCGAAGCCCTAGTCAATCAAGGCATTCAAACTCAATACATCAGGGTCCTCCGTGAGCTGTATTGCGGATTCACTACCACGATCTCACCATTCTACAAAGAAGTGATCATCGATGTCAAATTGGAATGTCAATCTGCCTAATATGTGACATCCAAGGTACTTGGATTTTTGTGCAGAATAAAGACTGTAAGCTTACATATTAAAAGAGAAAAGTCTAATATTTCCCTCTACAGGGTGTTCTGATAGAAAGAGACATACCGAATTTTTGCATAATGGGATTCATAGAAAAGTCTGAGGGGAAACTGGACAAAACATTACCTGGATCCTGAGAACATGGAGATTGTCAGTTTAGGGCAATGGGTGCTCAAAGACTCCAGCAGCATGGACAAGACAAAGCCACTCAAACGGGTCATAGACTTGTAGTCATATGACAGAGTTTATTACAGGAGAACAATGTTTATATAGGTGCAGAAAGGATGCATTAAATGCAGATCATGAGGCGAAAAGAAGGTGAATTCTATGGTTACATGGGCTAGATGGGATGAAGTGTCACAAGGTATCACAGGATTTCTAGAAGCTAATGCAGACATGGAACAATAAACTTTAGACATTACAGGTGTCGGCTTTTCCTGCCAGGTCGCTGGCAGTTGTAAGGCCATTAAGCCATGCCAATCATCAGGGAATGCTGGTTCCGCTGGCATCAACGAAAGCAGGATGAGCCCCAACCAACGCTGGGACTTGGGGTTTTCCTGCATAAGCTCAGCAGCCCAGGTCAGGGAGCTGTGCCAGGAAGAACTACAGTAGATTTGCCCATATGCAAGTTACCACACGCAAGTTCACCATGACCAGGTTCAAGTTCACCATGCCCCGACTGAAGTTCACCATAGCCAGGTTCAAGTTCACCATGCCCCGACTGAAGTTCACCATGACCAGGTTCAAGTTCACCATGCCCAGGTTGATGTTCACCATGTCCATGTTTAAATTCACACGTCCAGGTTTAAGTTTACATGCTCAGGTTCAAGTTCACCATGTCCATGTTTGTGTGCTCACCACTGATAGGACAATTTTCTTTTTTTTTCTTTTTTTATTTTTAGTGAAACACCATGAGGTACAGTTATAGACTTATAAATTTTTGTGCTTGGGTTTCAGTTATACAACGATCAAGTACCCATCACTCCAAGTGCCCATCCTCCACCACCACAGGTCCCAGCATCCCCTCCACCCCTCATCCCCCCCCCCCCCCCCGTCCCACCCTGCCTCTGTGGCAGGGTATTCCCCCTTGTTTTCGCTCTCTTCTTTTGGGTACTGTGTTTTGCAAGAGAGGCATTGAGTGGCAATCATGTTTGGTCTATAGACTACTTTTAGCATGCTTCTCCCATGATAGGCCAATTTTCAAGAGACAAACTGATGCAAGAATAATAGGTCTACTTAGTGGCTAGCAACCTGAGAAGATGGCAGTTGCATGTCCCAAACAACCTTCTACCTTCTATAGTTACCAGAAGCAGTTTTATAGGTAAAGAAGATAGGGAAACTAGTTTGGAGATGGGTGGGCATCACAATGATCAAGAGTCACTTGGCTCATCCCCTGTGGCCCCTTGTCGATTTCCCTTCATGGGAGAGCTTTATCATTTTTTTCACATTGCTAATATCTTTTCAACTCACAGACCTTCCTTAATGTTTCTTCTGTCCATCAATGATGAACTCTCCCAGCTCTAATTAATCTGGGTCAATTTCATCTTCATTTTGAAGGACTCATTGGTCAGACTGTATTTCTACTGGATAGTCTTCATGCCTTTGAACACTGAATATGGTCATGTACTGCAGGATATTTTGGTTGACCACAGGCCACATATACGGTGGTGGTTTCTATAGATACCTTAGGTGGGTAGGTTAAACCGTTTTGGTTTACGTATACCTTGTGACATTTGCACGACGACAAAATTGTCCAACAGCACATTTCTTAGAATTATATTGCCACCCAGTGACACATGACTGTCATCCCACTTCCTCTAGCTTCTTAGAATTCTGCTGAGAAACTTGTTTACCTTGTGGGAGTTGACTTGTTTGTGGTGACTTTTCTCTTGCTATTTTCAGGATTCCCTCTTTGACTTTTTCAAGTTTTTGGTTTGTTTTTTCAGTGCCAGGGGTCAAACCCAGGGCCCCACATGCAAGGGAAGGGCTCTACCATCGAGCTACATCTCTGGTCCAGTAGTTTGTTTTTTAATTATACGGTATCTTGGGGGTGGGGTTTATTTAGGTTCATTCTATTTGTAGTCCATTAATTAAGCTTAGCATATTTGGATATTAATTCTCTTTAGATTAACCAAGTTTCTAGCCATCTTCAGGTTGGTTTGTTGCTTTTCCTTCTCTGGGCCTATCACAGTGTATAGATTGACTTACCATTTCCTATTCAATAGAACCCTTAGATTCTGTTATTCACTTAGTTTTTTTCTGATTACTTTGTATTTGACTTCAGTGATCAGAATTCTTGATTCTTTTTTCTGTTTCAAGACTGCTGCTTTACCCCTACAGTAACATTTTCTTTTCTTTTTGGTTCACACCTGGCTGTCTTCAGGGGTTTATTCCTGGCTCTTTGCTCAGGGAACCATATAATGCTGGGGATCAAACCCAAGTTGGCTTTGTGCAAGGTAAATGCCCTAAAAGCTGTACTATTGCCCCAAGTCCCCTATAGTAATATTTCAACTTTGAATAGTTCTTTTAAATTTTTTCAGTAAAATTAATTTTCTTTTGTTTTTTGGCCACATCTGGCTGTGCTTAGAGTTTTCTTTTAGACTGAACCTGGGTTGGCTGCATGCAAGGTCACCCACTGCACTATTGCTCTGGCCCTTTCTTTTTAAGCTCTTTTGTTGTCTCATTTTGTTCATGTACTGCTCTGATTTCATTTAGTTGGCTCCTGTGGACCACAGGTCCTCTTTAACACAATTTATTTGAATTGTCATGTCATTCATAGATCTTCATTTCCTTAGGATTTGTATTCTTAAAATTTCTGTTCCTGAGCTATGTTTGTCCTATCCTGTTCTCTGTGACTTTGCGCATTTAATAGAACATTTAATAGAACATTTGTGCTCTGTAACTTTGTGCATTTACTCTCCGACTCTTAAGAAGGGAGATCATCACCAATTCACCTACCTAGATACTGTAGAGACCTCTAAAATCCCTAGCTTAAGAGCAATTTCCCAGCCAGAGATATGCAGGCATCCAGAAATTGCTCCCTCTGGTGTCTGTCTGTGGTACTGCTGTTTTTCCTTTTTTGGGTCACACCTGGTGATAGTCAGAGGTTCTGCACTGAAGACTTACTCCTGGGGTGCTCAGGGGAAGATATGGGATGACTGGGGATCAAACCCAGGTCGCCCTTGTGCAAGGCAAGTGCCTTTCCGCTGTACTGTCCACTCCAGCCTCTCCTTTCCTTTAGGTTTCGGGGGTCACACCCTACAGTGCTGAGGGTTTATACCTGGCTCTGTGCTCAGGAATCACTTCTGACCACGCTCAGGTGGCCATACGCGGAGCCAGGAATCAAACCTGGGGCAGCTGTGTGCAAGGCAAATGCCCTCCCTGCTGTTCTATCGTTCTGGCAAGCATTGCTACTTTCCTGGTGTTCCTGCAGTAGGCTACTTTCTTCCTTTATTTGGTGGTCTTCAGGCACCCCAGGTATGCCGGTAACCGCTAGCATCCTGGACAGATGAGTCTCTTGGGCAGTCTTCTAGATAGTTGGAATCCACTTTTTTTTTTTTTTTTTTTGCTTTTTGAGTCATACCTGGCAATGCACAGGGGTTACTCCTGGCTCTACACTCAGGAGTTACCCCTGGCGGTGCTTAGGGGACCATATGGGATGCTGGGTATCGAACCTGTGCAAGGCAAACGCCCTACCCTCTGTGCTATTGCTCCAGTCCCTGGAATCCACTCTTGAGAAATCAGAAGTTGGGTGCCTTCTAATGGCATCCAGCCGACCTGACAGCGGCCGACTTGTTGCAGGTAGCTCAGCTCTCCCTTACTCTCAGCGACCCCCACTCCGAATACGCTGGTTTGGGCAGTGCTCTAAATCAGTCAAGAGAGGAATCAGTTAATCTCTGAAAATCCAGGATGTCAGATACCCTGTTGCACCGCACCCAGCTCACAATTCTCCAGCAGGGAACTGGCTGTTTTCTCCAAGTCATGCTGAACACTGGTTTGGGGCTGGGGCAACCATGAGGAAAATCAACTCTTCTCATGTTGCTGCACAGCTGTTCTCAACTTCAGGCTCGCTGGCTGACATTTCTTAACTGGATTCTGGAGTTCTCATAAGCCGATTTTGATTCATTATTGATATGTTGGTATTTCTTTGGGGAAATCCAAACTGAAATAAATACGGAAAAGCCTAAACTGGGTTCTGGAGTTCTTGTAAGGTATTTTGATTCATTATTGAAATGTTGGTATTTCTGTTGAGAAACCACAGGCATCTTGGGGCATCCGAGTCTGTCTCTATCTACCTTCTCCACCAAAAGCAGTGCCCTACCCGCTGCATTATCTCTCTGGCCCAAATACTAAAATTCTGTTAAGATGGGGAACTATTCTGGCTTACTATCGTGGGTCCATTATAATCAAAAAGATCTTTACAAATGGAAGAGAGAGAGAGAGCAATTTCAAGTGCTCCATGCTGGTTTTAAAGATCCAGGAAGCTGTCAGATGCCAAAGACTGGGAACCGTAGAAGCTAGAAAGAGGTAAGAAACTGCATTTCCCCAGGAGCACAAGCTTCTCGTCCAATGAGATCTGAATTTTTGTCTTCTAGTTTCCAGAACCTCAAGCTGCAGGTGTGTACTATTTAGTCACTAAGTTCATGTTAATTTGTTATAGCACAAATAGAAAACTAATATACATGTCTGGTTTAAAAACTACTAGTTTATTGTACAAAATTTACATTTATTGTACATGATGAAAATATGGCAAAAGAAACTGATTTTCCATTAATGAAATTTGGTTAATTCATTTTTTAAATTTTTCTGTGAAATTAAAACCTTAAAAAAAGTATTTTCTTCCTACTGCAGCCGCAGATAATATGATTTTTTTTTTTACCAGTACTGATGGGTACAAGCATTTTGGGACATTAGGTAAAAAACTGAAAATAGGTCAAAAAAGTGCAGGGGGAAGGCCACTGCCAAAGAGTAATCTCCAAGAACTAGGCATTTTCCATGGCACGGCAGATGTTGTGGGGTCATCTTTGCTCTGTGAAGTAAGAACAAATATACTTTAATCCTTGAATGTTAACATATTTTTCAAAATTAAGGTTGTTTTTTTTTTTGGTGCACACCCAGCAATACTCAGGGGTAACTTCTAGTTCTGCACTCAGGAAGCACTTCTGATGGTGCTTGGGGGACCATATGGGATGCTGGAGATTGAACCCAGGTAGGTCACATGCAAAGTGAGCACCCTACTCTCTGTATTACTGCTCCGAACCCATATACTTCTGAAATTTGTATGAAACCATAAAAATTCCTGAAAAGCTTAAACAACTCTGTGAAAATAGGTCGGCAGTATTACAGCTCCAGACTTTAAACTAGACTACAAAGCTATAAACAAAAGTGCACAGTGACAGATTCTCAGATCGATGGAATAGAACTGTGAGTCCAGAGCAGCGGTAAACCTTCAAATGTAAGGACAGTTAATTCACAGTAGAGGGGCTAGGTGTATGAAGCAGAGCAAGGAAAACCTCTTCCAACAAATGGTGTGGGGCAAACTGCTTAGTTACATGCAAAACAACCAAGCCTCCACCCTCCTCAAAAAAGAAAGAAAATTGGACTTTTCTGTAAAGGTTCATTCAAAATGGATTAAAGACCTAGATTATCAAACCTGTCTCTATAAAATCACTATCGCTATCCTCCTATTGTTCATCGATTTTCTCGAGCGGGCCCAGTAATGTCTCCACCATGAGACTTTGTTCTTACTGTGTTTGGCATATCAAATACGTCACGGGTAGCTTGCCAGGCTTTGCTGAGCAGGCGAAATACTCTCGGTAGCTTGGTTGGCTCTCCGAGAGGGGCGGAGGAATTGAACTCAGGATGGCCATCTTGGCTGCGTACAAGGCAAATGCCCTACCTGCTGTGCTATCGCTCCAGCCCATAAAATACAGAGAAAATCATAAGGAAATCTCTCCAAGGTTTTGACCTCAGTTATTTTCAATGATATGATACCATTGGCAAAGAAATCAAAACCAGAAATAAACAAATGCAATTGTATCAAATGAAAAAGCTTCTGTACTGTGAAAGAAACAAGGGCTCACATTAAAAAACACCTGGCTGATTGGGAGAAGCTATTTTCCAATCATACATCAGACAGAGAGCTAATGTTTAAGATAAGTGAGACACTCTCAAAACTCAACAAGTCAAACAACCCCATCAAAGAGACTGGGAGAGGTGAACAAATATATCTTCCAAGAAGACATAAAGAAGGCCAATACACATATGAAAAAATGTTCATCATTGATTAATAGGGACAAGAAAATCAAAACAACCTCAACGTACCACCTCAATGTCAGTGAAAATGGTCTAAATTAAAGTCTGGAAACACAGGGCTGGAGGTACAGAACAGTGGGTTGGGTGTTTGCCTTGTATGCAGCCGACCCAGATTTGATCCCCAGCATGGTCCCCCAAACATCACCAGGAGTAACTCCTGAGGATTTCCTGCTGTGACTCAAAAAAGCAAAAAAAAGACCCCAAACTAAAATAGACCCCAAAGTCTGGAAACAGTGCTGGAAGGGTTGTGGTAAAATAGGGCACTGTATTGGTACACTAAGCACTACCAGGAATAATCTTAAGCACAAAGCTAGGAATAGCCCCCAAGCAAAGCTGAATATGGGTCAACCCCAGTCCCTCAATATATATGTTTGTGTGTATAAACAGAAAAAGAATTATCAACCAAAGTAGCCATACAGAACAACAGTCCTAGGTGTAATGATCTTGTCCATAACTTTTAAAGTATCTTAACTAGAATATATACTCAATAGGGCTATAGAGATAGTATAGCGGGTAAGGCATTTGCCTCGCAAAAGCTAAACGGGGGTTGATCCTTGGCATGCAATATAATCCCCTGAACATTTCCTGGAGTAATTCCTGAGTGCAGAGCGAGGAGTAACCTTTGAGTATTGCCAGGTGTAACCCCCAAAGTAAAAACAAAAACAAAAACAAAAATACCCAAACACACACACACACACACACACACACACACACGGTCACAGTCCTCCTGTTGTTCATCGATTTGCTCAAGTGGGCCCAGTAATGTCTCCATTGTGACACTTGTTACTGTGTTTGGCATATTGAATACACCACGGGGAGCTTGCCAGGCTTTGCCGTGTGGGCGAGATACTCTCGGTAGCTTGCCGGGCTTTCCGAGAGGGGCGGAGGAATCGAACTCAGGGCGTGCAAGGCAAACACCCTACTGCTCTGCTATCGCTCCAGCCCATAAACACACACACACACACACACACACACACACACACACACACACACAATGATATGGCTTACATTGCAATACCTTTCTTATAAAACAACATTTTCTTATAAAACAACGAAAGATAAAAAAAAAAATCACTAAATTCCAAAGTGGACTTGTTCATTTCTGTAAGCTATTGTATTAACTCAACACAGTGAGTATAGTGAAGAACTTTAAGAATTTGTTTTTGGAGCTGGAACAATAGTACAGCAGGTAGGGCATCTGCCTTGTACTCAGCCTAACTGGGTTCGATTTCCAGCATCCCATATGGTCCCCTGGGCACCACCACGAGTAATTCCTGAGTGCCAAGCCAGGAGTATCCCCTGTGCATTGCCGGTATAACCCCAAAAAGGAAAAAAAAAGGATTTGTTTTTGAGGGGCCAGAGCAACAGTAAAGAGGGTAGGGTACTTGCCTTGCACCTGGTCAATCTGGGTTTGATTCCCAGTTTTCCACAGGGTCCCCCAAGCCCTCCAGGAGTGATTCCTGAGTACAGAGTCAGGAGTAACCCCTGAACATCACTAAAAAAGTTTTTGAAAAAATAGTCTTCATCACACAGCTATAGACAATAGTTAGTCCACTACACTCTAGTTTCAACAGCTCTACTAAGCAAAATTTTATACGAAGACATGCCTATAACATAAATCTGATTATATTTGTCTTATTTATATGGTATGTAAAATCCAAATTTAGGACTGGAGCAATAGCACAGCGGGTAGAGCGTTTGCCTTGCACGCAGCCAACCTGGGTTCAATCCCTGGCATCCCAAATGGTCCTCAAGCCAGGCAGGAGTAATTCCTAAGTGAAGAGCCAGCAATAACCCCTGATCATCACTGAGTGTGGCCCAAAAACAAACCAAAAAACCAAAAATCAAAAAACACCCACGCAAGTTTATGGATATATAACCAGAGAAATTAGATGCTTAAATTGTGGTTGAGGCTGGAGAGACAGCACAGAGGTTGAGGTGCCTGCCTTGCACGAGCTCAGTTTTCAATACCGTATCTGAGCCCAGAAACAACCCCAGGAGTGACCCAAGTCAGGAACAGTCCCTGCTGTGTGTAGCCCAATGTTCCCCCCATCTCCCCCAAAGGAAAACACTTACACATGGTTTGATTATGTGAAGCCACTCATTAAGATATTCAACAAGACCTAGAGCATCGGGGATGTTGTCTCCTTCTGAAACAAATTTTAGCAGGATCACCACTGGGATTTCTTTAGAACAGCTGCAAAGAAAAGTAATTGCATGACTGATACAACAGCAAAACTTATAAAGAAAACTCTAATACAAAATCAAGTCTGCCTTAATAGCTACCACGGTATACCAGGTTCTGAATAAGGATAGATGAATCTGATAACATACTTTTCTCCCCTTGTCCGACACTTTCCAGTTGTGGGGAAATGACAGGCACCACGTCATGCTCAACTCAGGACTAGGCAAATCTGTGCTTAACATCAAATCTTCATGAAGAAGCTCTAGTCTTAGCCTTAGGACATGAGGGATATTTCTTTACACCCTAAATCTATTCTGAAATATGATTTTCAGAAGCACCACAGCAAAGAAGATACCTTTTATAATCTAAAGCACAAAGGAAAGCAGTCAAGCAGAATATCTAGTTCAAAGGGGGAAAAGGGCTCCCACATCTTGCAGACACAAATGCCACTTTTGTAAGTGGTTACTATGTGCTAAGCTTTGAATGGATTTTTTTTCCTTTGGGAGGAAGTGAAGACAATTCCTATTTTCTAATCATTCTTTAATAAGAGAAAAAGAAAAAATGTTTTTATATTCTGCTTATAATTATCTTTTATTGCTGAAAACACTGTGGGCAAGTTTACAGTTACCACAAGTTATTGTTTGTCCTTACAGGGTTTCACACTACAGGGTGTGGCTTAGCATAGGGAGGGGAAACTCAGGAGCCCTCTTTAACCCTCGAACACTCCCTCACCTCCCTGATGTCCCACTCTCTACTGCTCTTTCCAGTGTGATGCCGCAGCCTTTCCCCACCTGATCTCTTGTCTCCTCCACGCAGCAAGACCCTGGTGCTCCGCCTGGTTTCCCACCTCCCCCTGTGTTGGAGCCACATCATTTTTCTAAGAAGAAAGCTGGAGCCAGGAGGGCAGAGAGATAGTACTTCAGGTAGGACACTTTGCCTTGCATGTGGCTGGCCCTGGTTCAACCCCCAGCATCACATATAGTCTACAGAGCCTGCCAGCAGTGATTCCTGAGCACAAAGCCAGGAGTAAGTAATGATCAGGTATGGAACAACAACAACAAAAAAAACCAAACTAGGTTTTCAGAGAAAACAAATGAAAGCTGGGATAGTAAGTATAGCCAGAGATTGATGAAACAAGTGTTAAGGGAAAAACAGTTATAATGCATCATTTCTGATAGTGAAACCTTTTGTTTCAGAAAGAATGCAGTAACATTATTACAAATAACAGGAAACCACTTAATTTTTTTTAAAGGGGGAGGGGAGTTGGGCTCCACAGTACACTCCACAGTACTCAGGGCTTATCCCTGGCTCTGTGCTTAGGGATCACTCCTGGTGGGGCTCAGGAGACCATATGCAGTGCCAGGGATGAACCTTGGTCAGATGCAGGCAAATGTCTCAACTGCTATACTATCTCTCTGACCCCAGGTTCAACTTTTGGATTAAAAATTAGGTTTGGGGCTGGAGCGACAGCACAGTGGGTAGGGCATTTGCCTTGCACGCGGCCGACCTGGGTTCGATACCCAGCATCCCATATGGTCCCCCAAGCACCGCCAAGAGTAATTCCTGAGTGCAGAGATAGGAATAACCCTGTGCATGACCCTCCCAAAAGGGGTAAAAATTAGGTTCAGTGTGATCTTGGACCCTGGGTGCTTTAGTGAAATGATTAAAAAGTACAGGGTTTGGCACCAGATACATGTTTCTTTCCCGGCTCTGCCACTTACCGTAGGTTTTTGGCAAGTCCTTGCTGTTATTTATTTTTCTATTTGTAACGTGATTTTATTTTTTATTTAAAAAATTATCCAGAAGAGAGATATTCAGATCATCTTTATTTCATTTTTTTCAAGGGCGGGGGTGGGAGAGTTGGTCTATATCTGACAATGCTCATGGGTTACTTCTGGCTCTGCACTCAGGAATTACTCCTGGCAGTATTTACGGGGGGGGAGGGAGAGCCATGTAAGATGCCAGGGATCAAACACAGGCCAGTCACGTACAAGGTTGTTGTACTATTGCTACCTATTGTACTATTGCTCCAGTCCCCTGTAATATGATTTTAGAAAGTACATACTGGGGCCTTCCTCTGCAAGGGTAAGTTTCTACTTCTGAAATATATAATAAGGAGGCAAGCATCAGTAGTTGGGCTAGCTTCTGCCCAATTCTGTAAGGCACTGCTGAAGACATCAGGCTGATAGCTGATGGCCTCTTCTCATGGGAGAGAAAAACAGTCAATCAGCGGGCTTAAAAAGTAGAAGGAATCTTCTCAACAGCTGCCCCGCATTTTCAAAACCACTGTCTTCTGAGAAGTGAGTAGGCACAATTCCCCATGAAAAGGAAGAGCCAGAGGGAGCAGGGCATACATCAAGACCTGGTTCTTCTTCCCAAACTTCATCTCCAGACAGTAAGAGATCAGGCAAAATCAGAGGACCTAAGTGCTCACAAATCTTATGGCAAATGGGACATGGACATATAAAGCAAAGATTTATAAAAAGAAAATAGATCTCTTTCTATTTCCCATCTTTTCTTTTGCTTGCATTCCAAATTTTATGATTCCCAAAACTGAATCAAGTGATTAAAGAGGATTAAAAGACAAATGCATAAAAAAAGTTAAAAATCTATGTTACTGGGCTCACCATGTATATAATTTGTGACAATACCAAAAAGGGTTGGTGGAGCAGTGTATTAAGTAGTTTTTGTAAGCAACTTAAATATCAACTGAAATTAGACTACATAATTTTAGGATGTTATATGTAATTGCCATAATAGCCACAAAGAAAACATCTACAGAATATATACAAAAGGACATTAAGAAAAGAATCAAAACTCATCACTATGTGGGTAGGTAGGGTGCTTGCCTTGCACATGGCTGACCTAGGTTTGATTCCTGAAACCACATATGGTCTTCTGAATCCTGCCAAGAGTAATCTCTGACTACAAAGCCAGGAGCAAAACCAGAAATATTCTGCTGGATGTAGTTCAAAAACAAAGCCAAGAAAGAAAATGAAACTTAATTATCTTTGCATTCATGAGGCCTGGGTTCAATCTTTGGTACTGCTGGGTACAATCCCCGGCAGAAAGTTGGAAGTAGCCCAGAACGTTGTCAGATGTGCCTCCCCCACAGTCCCCCAAGAAAAGAAAGATTAGTACTCTGTACATCTGACCACTATTTTTTAAAAAGTAAACATGAGGGGTGGGGAGGAGATGTAAGGAGGAGATGTGAGGGAAAAGAGATGGAGTTGGAGGGAAGAGAGGGTAGGGAGGAAGAGAGGAAGAGAGGGAGGGAGGGAGGGAGAGAGGTACTCAAGAGAGAATAGGGGCTTCTCCAGAGGGGAAGAAGCCGAGAATAGACATCTGAGGTTGCAATGCAGGCCAATCTCCAGGGTAGAGAAAGAGCTATTTTACCACAATTTAAAATAAAGAGTGACCACAGAAATCGTACAGAGTAAGTTTCAGGATCTCTAACATGCCACATGTTGTAATACATAGGAACCAAATTCTCCCTTAACTGTATCTGAATCTTTCCCTTGAATATAAAAATTCTAATATGGTACCAATTTATGAATATATTTCCAAAGTTCCAGTCATTCAACACACTATTCTTCACTTCTTTTTAAAATAAGATGGGGAGCAAATGAACAACACACTTACCTTTCATCATAGAGTGTCTTTGTAATGCCTCCTCCAGGGATACGGATACAAGACTCAGAATCATCTATCTCAGGGATACATGGGCTTCGTTCCATTTCTGTCCAGTTAAGGCTCTTTATTTGATTTTGGACATTTTTTTTTATGGAAGGTGTATACAGGTACCTGAAAGGAGTACTAGAAAAAACCATATAATTAACTTTCTAAAAGATTCATGGATAAAAACATTCACTGAAGTATCAGTTTTTAGCAAAGCTTATTATGTTTTCTATATTTTTACACTACAAAATAGATAATTTCTATTAAAGAATTACAAAATGTTGCTGAGTTTCTCTTTATACATTTAAGTGTGTAAAGAAAAAGGAAAACTTAAACTAAGGCTGTCACCAGGAGAAACCCACTTCCTGCTGCTACGTTCCCTTCAGGGGACGAGGCCTACTGTGGGATTCCTGGAAATGCAACATCTGTTGTGACATTCCAAGGAATTTCTTTAGTTTTGAAAGATAACACTTGGTGGTAGTCATCATGGTTTCTTAAGTATATAAATGATAATGCAGCTCAATAGTTTATATTCCGATCTCTTGAATATTTTCTCTTACATTTAGGTTGGTGGGTTACACCCAGTGGTTCCTAGGCTCTATGCTCAGGGATCACTCCTGGCAGGGATGGAGGGACCATATGGGATGCTGGGGATCACACCTGGGTTGGCTGTGAGCAAGGCAAGCACACTGTCTGCTGCACTATCTCTCCACTCCCTTTCTCTTACACTTAATAATTCAGTATGACATATCTGGGAGCTATACTTAAAGGCAATTGGATTTCCATAAGTACAAAAGTCAAACATATAGGAAGAGACAGAAATATCAATCTTTTAAAAAATGATCTCAGATGGAGGAGAGAGGAGAGAAATAAATGGTCCCTGGGTACAAAAAAAATCATCTTAGTAAATCTAGGGTACTTTTTTTCTTCTGGGGGCAGGGGCGGGGTGAGCCACACCTGTAGATGCTCAGGGGCTATTCCTAACTCTGTGTTGATTGATGAGTGAGCTCCGGGGATGTTAAGGGGACCATATGTAGTATTCGGGATTGTACTAGGGTCATGGCCAAAGCAGCCACACGGAAGGTAAATGCCTTACATCCTACACTATCTCTCTAGCCTTTTTTTTTTTTTTTTTGGGGGGGGGGGGTTCTGGGGCCATACCCAATGGTGCTCAGGGGTTATGCCCAGCATGGTGCTTGGAGGCTAATACTTGGGAGACCAGGTGGTGGCAGGGCTCTAGCCCGGTTTCTGGCAGGCAAAGCAGGTCTGCTCCAACCCACTGAGCTACTGCTCTGGTCCAGAATCCCCCTTTCTGCTAGTTCTCTCCATCACCTAAGCTCTGTGATACTGCCATGCATGATACCAAGCAATCAAAACATGGTTCTACAACCTTTATACCACCACCTTTATATCAAAGCTTGCCCTGTGTCCAAACTGGCACCATTCCTATATAGACTAAAAGAATCAGCCTATCTGTATCTACCTCTGTCTGGACTGGAGTGATAGTACAGTGGGTAGGGTGTTTCCCTTGCACACGGCCAACCCAGGTTCGATCCCCGGCATTCTATATGGTTCCCGAGAACCGCCAGGAGTAATTCTTGAGTGCAGAGGCAGGAGTAACCTGAGCAATGCCAGGTGTAACCCAAAAAGGAGGAAAAAAAACTCTATCTGTATAATACACACACACACACACACACACACATCTATATGCATATATATACCTCCATCTCTTAACTTTCTTAAATTTCTTTCCAAATTAAGGTAAGGATAGGATTATATATAATTTTAAAGTTTATTTTAACCTGTGAATAGAGAAACCATAATAACACTGTATAATTCATAAAGAAAGTAATTTTTAGAAGGCACATACCTGCCAAGCTGTAGGTCATTACAATGATATGAGTGACTGCTTGAAAGAACGACGACTTTGGCAAAGTCACTACTTTTCACCCAGGAAAGCAGTTTTTCACAAAATGACTTTGATTTAAACTGAGTAACAGAGAAAATCCAAAAGTTAGATCTTGGAGGATAAGATTAGTACTTTACACACTACATACTCGTGAAGGGGTTTGGGGCACCATATAGGGTGCAGGGGATCAACCCGGGGTGACCACATGCGAAGCAAGCATCCTACTCACTGGACTAGTTCTCTTGCCCCTCTTTTTCTCTAATTTTTTTAAATGGGACTTGGGCCACACCAACTGTGCTTAGAGTTTACTTCTGGCCCTGTGCTCAGGCGTCACCCATGCTCAGGGGAGGATATATGGTGCCAATAATTATACTACTTGTCCAACTCAAAAGACTAAATTTGTACTTCTAGTTTCTGAGTAATCATCATGAGAAATTTTATCGCCCTGATCAGCACATTAGAAAGTTTCCTAATGCTTCACCATTATTGATTTTAAGACATGACTCAGGAGGCCATGATGATGGTTCAATGCTGGGGGCTAAGGAGCTCCTGTAGTGCTCTGGGGTTCAGGTAGTAATGGGGATCAAACTCGGAGCCTTGCAAATGCACAGTATATACTCTAGTTCTCTGAGTTATCTCCCCAGCCCCTAAGCTTTGGGTATGATATTGTTAACTAAAATAAAGAATTGATTCTAATATAAATATTGAAATAATCAGAGCATCACTCACAACAGCATTGCACTCGGAAAATGATTAAATGTCCCACCAACACTATAATCAGCAAATAATGAAACAACAGAATCGCAGAGAGCTACGACTGAATGTTACTTGCAATAACATGGAGGAGGAACTTCACAAATAGGGTGTTGGGAAAAAGAAGTCAAACATAAGAAAGTACATGCCATACAACGCTTCTTACATAGTTATATAATAACTAGAATGGGGGAAGGGGGAAGGGCCTCAATGTTGATAAATTTCTTATCTCCTATATACAGGTCCCTTAACCCACTCAGTAAGTATATAATGAAAATTTCTCTAGACAGAGGCACTATTCTAGAGGATGGCGGAAATAAGAGTGGTGTAAGAATTTTGAGTCAATTCTCTCAGTAAGCTTCGTTTCTATTTGAGGTAAGATAACTAACAAAGAATGGCATGCTGGTGGTGATGAGTTGTGACGGAAACTGGGTTTAGGATGAGTCAGAAACAGTGGGGGCCAGAGACAGTGCAGTTGGGAAGGCTCTTGCCTTGCACACAGGTCAACTCCAGAGCCAGTCTCTTGAGCAATATCAGGAGATCAACAGCTGTGGCACCTCCTGAAACTCCCCAAAAAGGACAGAAACAGTGGTCAGGGAAGACTTTTCTGATGAGGTAACATTTAGGCAAATAATAACAGAAGCCATTTACTAGGGAAAAAAATTTTAAGCAAACAAGTTAGTATATGGCTTAAGAAAGAAGGGAGCTTTGCCTATTTGAACAGTGTGAGGACAGTGACAGAAAGGGAGCAAGAGAAAGAAGCAATGGGCAGAGAAAAGGCTGGAGATCAGGTTTGGCTGAAAAACTGTCAGGGGAACTAGAATGGGGAAAGGGGGAAGGGCCGCAATGGGAGAAATACTCTCTATGGCATTTGCTTGCCAGGTGTGGCTTCTGAGAACTTGAAAGGTGACTACTGTGAGAAAGAAATGCAATTTTAAATAATTACCTTTAATCAAAATTTAAATGACTCCAGATATACGGCTAGAGGGTATCAGGAGGGACAGAGCAGATGCCACGCCTCACAAGCCACAGGAAGGCGTGAATTCACTGAGATGGGAAGCCACTGGCAGTTGGCTTAAATTTGTTCCTTAAATTTGGGGCCACATCCATTGTGTAGCTCAGGGGCTACTCTTGGTTCAGTGACCGAGAGCTGCTCCTAGAGATTCAGGGGGTCCGTGCAGTCCCACGGATGGAACCCAGTCACCTGCAGGCAAGCGTGCACTCCAGCCTGCCGAGCTCTCCCTCCAATGCCCCACTGGAGGGTTTGAGCAGAGGAAAGATAGATTCTTATTGAAGCTTACAGGATCACTGGTTGTGGTTTGCAAACAGACTATTACTGTTCGTGGGGAGACAGTGGAGCTGTGAGATGACATCGATTTGAACCTGAATGGTAGCAGTGGAGGGAGGAAGAAGCGGAATTCAAAACACATTTTGTTACATAATTTTCATGTAGATGCCAGTGGCTGAAATAAAATGGAATAAACCTACAATATCCCTATACTTAAGTATCTTCACAAAAGCTACCTGAACTGGGACTATATAAAACCTATTACGATGTCCTAATTCCTCTGATAGGATCATGAAATAATGGCAATACCTTTGAAAATCTGAGAACTTTTTTCCTCCACGAAAAAGACCTTTTTTAACTGCACATTCAATATAAAGAACAGAAATTATTTGGATTAATCAGCATCAGTATTTTTCATTATTTTGCTCTAATACTCAAAAAGGCAAATGTAACATACCAACCTTAATAAAAATGGATCTTAACTGAAGGGCCACTAGCTTCTTTGAAGGTAACAAATATACTACAAAGAAAAAAAAATGAAATCAACAGTAAAATGAAAAGTTATACAAGTGAAATTATTCACATGAAATTAAAATAGAATTATAAGAAAATTTGCATTTAGATATTTTCAGTACAAATGTAGAATATGTACACGATGTTATTTAATAGAAAACATTTTGGGGCTCCCTTTACCCAACGGTGCTCAGGGGTTATTCCTGGCTCTGTGATTCCAGGAATCACTTCTGGCAGTGCTTGGGGTACCATAGAGAATACCAGAGATAGAACCCAGGTTGGCCACATGCAAGGCAATGCCCTACCCACTGTACTACTGCTTTTGTTACAACAGAAAACACTTTAAAATGCACACCTGCACTGTTCTATGGAAGATACATTTTTGAAAAACAAACTGTCACAAACAAACACTGTCCTCCTGTTGTTCATCGATTTTCTTGAGCGAAACCAGTAACCTCTCCATTTTTTGAGACTTGTTGTTACTGTGTTTGGCATATTGAATACGTCATGGTAGCTTGCTGGCTTTGCCGTGTAGATGAGATACTCTCTCTCGGTAGCTTGCCGGGCTCTCCGAGAGGGGCGGAGGAATCAAACCCGGCTCGGCCGGGCTGGCTGCGAGCAAGGCAAATGCCCTACTGCTGTGCTATCACTTTTGAAAATTTAACAAAAAATATTGAAATTAAAAAATATTTTTATTCTGACTTGATTATAAAACCAGAGACATATTCTCCCTAAAAAGTTCTGTTATTACAACAAATAGGTCATTAACAATATTTTTTGAGGCCAAGAGATAGCTCAAAGGACTGGAGTGAACGCGTTGCGTGGAGGAGCCCCAGGTTTTAGTCCCAAGTACCACCAGGTGTGGCCCCTACCATAGCAGGCCAATCAGCAGCCCCACCTCCAAAAAAGGAATGTTTTCATTTCTGACATTCTGTCCTTGTCTAAGGAATAGCATTCATTGGGATTGATAAAAAAATAAATAAATAAAATGTGCAAGAATTGTAGCAATATCCTAAACACATGTGTAAATGGTTGTATTTGTGTTCTCCAGGCGTTTTTGGAAGACCTGAAATAACATGCAAAGTCAGGACTGGAAAGATAGTTCGGTGAACAGGGCACCTTCTTGCACATGGTGAACCAGGGTATCCGGATCCCTGGTACCCAACATGGTTCCCTAAGCCCCACAGGAGTGATCTCTGGGCACAGAGCCAGAAGTCAACCCTGAGCACTGCCAGACGTGTCCCAAAAACAAACAAAACAATAAGTTAATTTTAAATTCTCTTGCATTTTTGGCTTTACTCAAAAGCCAAAAAATCAAATCCAGGTTTTAAGGCTGGGAATCTCAAATTCTACCTAAAGTTCCAAGTACAATCTCACCTCTTATAGGAGTGGTCATTTCCCAAAAAGGCAAAGATCTAAAGCTAGAATATAAAAGAACAGAATAGGCCCATGTGACTGGGTCAGAACTCGTGCCTAAAGCTGACACTAGGTAAATGTTTGCTACTGAGGAATACTGCACTCTAATTTCACTCTAATCTAATTTAGGGGAGGTTGGATCACACCTAGCACTACTCAGTAGCTATCCCTAGCTCTATGTAAGGAGTGACCCCTTACAACAGTGGTGCTGAGGGGACAAGATGTGGTACTGGGGGGTCAAATCAAGTCAGCTGCCAGGCCACATGCAAGGCAAGCACCTTACTCACTGTACTTTCTCTCCAGCCTCCTAGTATTCAATATGCCAAAAATAGTAACAAGTCTCTACAATGGACACGTTACTGGTGCCCACTCGAGCAAATTGATGAACAACGGGAGGATAGTGCTACAGTGCTACTTTTCATTTCTAATTTTATTTTATTATTTTTTTAATATTTTATTTATTGCTCTTTGGGTCACACCTGGTGATACTCTGGGGTTACTACTGGCTCTGCACTCAGGAATCACTCCTGGCAGTGCTCGGGGGACCATATGGGATGCTGGGAATCGAACCCGGGTTGGCTGCATGCAAGGCAAATGCCCTACCTGCTGAACTATCGCTCCAGCCCCTCATTTCTAATTTTAAACCACTCTACTGTCCCGTATATAAAATGGGTTGAAGGCTTACATACCTTCAGTATTTATACTGAGTTCTGTTGAATTTTCTTCTGCAGTGGCATATGGGTTATTTCCAACCATCGGAACTAGACAATCAGTATAGAAGTAACCAATCTTACACATGTCCAGCGTAGAAATGATCAGATCTATTGCAAGCTGGCCAACATTCCCAACGGATACTGCTGGCTGAAATCATTAAAACAACATATATTTTCAGTAACTTATTATCATTAGCAGCACTTTAAAAACAAAAAACAGAGCCAGAAGAAAAATAATCACAGCCAAGTACTCAATGCTTAAGGCATCATAGGTAGAGGATACCTCATTCATTGGCTGTAACTAAGATGTATGTGGGGCCTCCTCCACCTTGACTGACTTAACTCTTATTGAACGCGTAGACTATGTCAATCATTGCTATAGGTACTAGGAAAAAAGATCGACAGAAGTTTCTGCCCTCATGGAGCTTTCTCTCTAGAGAAGTATTTTACCTGTTTATTTTGTTTTTAAAGTAAAATATACACTGGTAAGTGCTATGAGGGGGCAGGAGGGAGGGGGAAGGAGACAAGGAGAGAGAGAATCAGAGAGGAGGGAGGTGCTTGGTTTCAATTCTATATAAGACTATCAAGGAAAGCCCCACTTCTGCTGACAGCAACTATAGCCCTGAAAGTGGTAAGGGAGCGAGTCACTCACAGATGGGGAAAAAATGTTCAGGCAATGGGAAAAAGCTTCTGTAATGTCTCTGTGGTAGGGGCAAACATGGCTACTGAGTCTTCTTTCCACCTGCTAGTACCCAACAGTCAGGGATTCCCGAAACACTGACCCCACACAAATACTACTATTGCTATGACTTCAATTGCCAAACTGCTACATCTCTACTTATCTGAAAGAGTCTAGGTCCATCACTTATCTGAATGCCAGAATCTAAGAATGGAACTTAACTTTTGTCCCAACTTGCTGCTATATTTTACATTTTAGGAAAGAGCAATTATCCACCCATTTAGACCAGGAAACTCCCCTCTGCCTAATACCACTTTAAAAATAATTTTTTTAAAATTGAATCACAGTAAGATATCGTTAAAAAGCTGTTCATGAGTTTCAGTCATACAATGTTCCAACACCCGTCTCTTCACCAATGTTCCCAGTTTACCTTCTGCCCCTGCAGACTGCCTTTATGGCAGGCACGTTTCTTCTCTCTTATTTTGCATTTAGGCAGTGGAGTTTGCAATACTGTAACTCAAAGGGTATCACGCTTATTACTTTGCTTCCTTTCAGCAATCAGTTTATGTCCAGTGTGATTATTTCCAACTATCATTGTCACAGGAACACACAATCAATTTTCATTGATTCTATTTCCGAAGTATCTCTTTAATATAGCTCCTTCCTTACATTCTTTCAGCAATTACAATTTTTTTTGCCTTCATATATCCCTTTGAGTGGTCTTTGCTATCTCATTGCTGTCATCCCTATTATCTCCTGTGATTCTCTTTCAGTCTCAAAATTTTGCTCCTTTGGTTGGATCTTTCCTGTGATCCATCCTTCTCTAACCATTGAATTCTTTTCATCAACATTTACACATCTATAAATTTATTACCACTGAGAATCTACACGTTGCAAAGTCCAAGCATACACTCATTTTACACAACTTCTCCATCACTTTTGACAAATGGTTAAAGCCTCCCGGAAACATCATTTCCTCTGAATTGAAATATTGGACACTTAATGCATACAAGAATGACTATTCTGTTTCTGAAAACCTAAAGCCACTCCAAACAGAACATTCTCCAAAGATGCCTTCTTGTTACACAGGGCCTTCTATTCTAGGCATAATTCCCAACTCTTAACCATCCAGGTCTCTCGCATGCCTTCATGTCTCTGGTTTAAACATTTTTCCCCCTCAAAGTCTTACTTCCCCCCTCATCTTTTAAACATTCCCTTTTGTGATTATTTTTCAGGAAAATGCATTGAAAACTGTATGAAAGTTTCTTTCTCAGCACACCATTACACATTCATTTTTAGCATTGATATTTGTGTGCATCACTGAAATGTAAATTTCCAAGAAGTGAATCTTCTATTGCCAAGAAGTGAATCAGCTTATTGCCATCTTTTTGTGTGTGCTTTTGGCAGTAGTGCTGGGAGCTGAACCCAGGGTCTCACTGTTTTTTAAAAAAAAAAAATACAGGGGCTGGAGAGAGCATAGTAGGGAGGGCATTTGTCTTGCACACAGCCAATCTAGGTTTGATTCCTGGCACCCCATATGGTTCTCAGAGCCCACTAGGAGTGATTCCTAAACACAGAGCCAGAAGTCCTGAGCACTGTCAGGTGTGGCCCCAAACAAACCCTAAATACCCCCCTCCCCATACTGTATGACTTAGTGGTTGAGGCCAGTTGTCCCTACTCTGGGCAAAGAACAGAGACCTTACATAACATTATATTAGTTTTAGGTGTCCAAAGAAAATAATTTGGTATCTGTACACACTCTCCCAGGCTGCAGCAATAGCACAGAGGGTAGGGTGTTTGCCTTGCACGCAGATGACTGGGGTTCGATTTCTCTGCCCCTGTCGGAGAGCCCAGCAAGCTACCAAGAGTATCCCGCCCGCATGGCAGAACCTGGCATGCTCCCCGTGGCACATTCGATATACCAAAAACACTAACAAGTCTCACAATGGAAACGTTACTGGTGCCCATTACAGCAAATCAATGAACAATGGGAGGACATACAGTGCTATATATACTACCATACTGGAACTGATGCCACTATAACTTACAATTAACATCTCCATCACTATGGTTACATTTTTACATTTTAGGGGTAGGGGAAGTAAAAAGAGCTTTTACAATCCACTCTCCTAGCATCTTACAAATGTGCAATAAAGTACCATAGACTGTGGGACATGTCATACAGTATTTACACTAACTGGAAGTTTGTCCCTTCCACTCCCTTCAATTTTGACACCTAGCCTTTCATCCCTACCTTCTAGCAATTCCTAGCAAACCTATGTTCTGAATTCGGGAGTAGAATTGGTGTGGAGTGGGGGTTTCTTCATTTATTCTAAGGTTCCACATATATTTCTCTAAATAGTTCTTGGGATCCAACACCTCGCAACAAATCCTACAGCATTTTTTCTCCTCTTTCAACCTTTCACTCCCCCCCCCCCCAAAAAAAAAGAAGTGGGTTTTTTTTTTCAGCATTTGTTGCCCCAATGGACTGAGATTTCCAAGTAGTCTGAAAGTCCTGAAGACAAATTAAGCCTACTTTCACATAACCGCATATTTACTGAAACAAGGAATGCAGATGGGCGATGACACAAGTGAAAACCACGTGTCAACTCCGGTTCATAGTTTTTCTTTAAAAATGTTTTAAATGTTTTTATTTTTTGCTTTTTGGGTCACACCCGGCGATGCACAGGGGGTTACTCCTGGTTCTGCACTCCGGAGTTACTCCTGGCGGTACTCAGGGGACCATACGGGATGCTGGGACTCGAACCCGGGTCAGCTGTGTGCAAGGCACACGCCCTACTCGCTGTACTATCACCCCAACCCTCTCATAGTTTTTCTCTAAAAACCCGACTTGTAACATTTGGGTTAAAAGCAATGAGTGATGCTAAAACGAAGTGAAAATTAAAAAAAAAAACACTTTTGGGGGGAGGGGGGAGTGAAAAATTACGAATCAAGATCCGCCCGGTCCATGTACATAACGTATGTGTTAATATCTCCAAACTCGCGCCGCTTTCAGTGACAACTAAGGGGTCGGGGAACCCCACCCCCCCAGCCCCACTCCGCGCCCCCCAGCGTGGGGTCGAGCGCACCACGGCGCCCGGGACAAGGAGCAGCCCTGACCCTTGGCTAGAAGCGCGCGAAAGGCGGGACTCACCATCAGGAGCGTGAACCCCGAGAGATCGGGGGCCGAGTCTCCGCAGGGGACAAACATGACTAAGGACAGGTGGGACCCGGGGGGTCTGAGGGTCGGCGGGGAGGAAGGAGCTAGAGCCACAGGAGGAAACCGCGAGCCAGCCCCGAGCCCGAATCCCAGGACCCACGGGCGACGCGGGCGGGGCGGGGCCGGGGCGGGCAGGGTCCTTCGTTGTCCCTCGGCGCGGGGGTCCTCGGAGTCCGTCCAGCTATCTGCCGGTCGGGAGGGCGCGAGTGGCCAGGGGCCGGGAGGCTGGTGGGGGGCGCAGTGGCAGTCCATCTGGAGACCCTGGCGCGGCGAGGAGACGGGGCGAGCCCGGGGGGGTGGGGAGGAAAGGCGGCGGGGACCCCGCGTGGGGAAGGTGGGCGGCGTGGCCGTCGGCGGCAATCAGGCAGAGCGAGGGGCAGCTCCGCCGCCGCCGCGCCGGCCGCCGCCGTTTGAAAGCAGCAGTTGAGCGCCTGGGCGGCCGCCGGTGCCTCGGCTCGCCTGGGGCTTCCGCGCTGACTTGCGGGGGGGGGGCGGCGGTCTGACGCGGCGTCGCGCCCCCCCACCCCCGGGAGCCGCCGCGCGCGGGCGAGCGGCCGTGCCTAACGTTCCAGGCCTTCCGGGGGGCGCGCGCGTGCGGGCCCTTGGCGGGGGGCCCGGAGGAGGGCGGGAGGGCGGCGCGCCTGCAGCGGGGAGGGAAGAGTTGGCTGCGCGGCCGCCGCTGCCAACAAACCATGTCGCTGCCTCCGGAGAAAGCCTCGGAACTGAAGCAGCTCATCCACCAGCAGCTGAACAAGGTGAGGGGGGCCGCGGGCGCCGGGCGAGACCCCGGCCAGCCCCGGAGCCCCTCGCCCCCCCCCCCACTCCTCCGCGTCCCTCCTCCCCCCCACCCCACCGAGGGACGTCCCTTCACTCGGTGCCCGGGCTGAGAGCTTGGGGACGCGGAGCGCTGGGCTGGGCGGAGACTGTGTGTGTGGAGCGGGAGGGAGCGGGAGTCGAGCAGCCCCCGGACGGACGGACGGACAGACGGGCTCCTCAGGCTGGACGCGGTGTCGAGCGAGCGCTTTTCTGGAAGTCACCTCCCAAGTGACAATTAAAAAGTTGGCGGCGGGAGCAGGTTTAGATTCAGACGCCGGGAATCGGAGTTCCTTTGAAGGGTGAAGCCTGGCCAGTCAAAGTCGGTGGACTTCAAAGCCTGCAGGGTTTTATGGTTTTATTTGGTTCAATTCTTTTTTTTTTTTCCCCTGATCGGTGAAGTTTTCACCAGCCCAGCTGCGCTCCCAGGTCATGTCATTATAGAATTCGTCGTGAAAAAAAATATTTGAATGAGTTTCTAGGGGCGGCAAGCGCAATCAGCATCATCGTCTCTGAGTGCAGTCCGCGGGAAGCCGGCGGAGCCCGGGGTTCTCGGGCACTTGACTCGCTGGCCGGCCGCCGCCGCCGCGACGTCTTTGTCCTGGAGTTGTTGAGCATCTGTTGGCTCTCTAATCCTCACCGTTATCTTGAAGGGCGCCGCCAGGTTGCCCGTAATTAGTTGAAAGCGGAGAAGATGCCCTGCTTGCTTTGTTTGCCTTGCCCCGCTGTTCCGCGTTCAAAAAAAAGATTTAAGTTTTTGGTGGAGTAAATTTTGCATGGGAAAAAAAATAAATAAATAACAGGTGGTAGATAACCAGAGAAGATCGCTCCTAGAATTTGTCCTTAAGAAATCAAAAATTGTTCCTTTCAAAAATAGTTCTCTTTCTTTGCACCGACTTCTGCTGACGATTTTACAATTGCAGTGAAGTCCAGGAAGCCGCTCTAAATCCAGACTTCGTAAATTTAGACGACAGCGTTTATTGGCTCTTGCTTTTGTTTTTGTTTTTGTCCCCCCCCCCCCCTTGACTTTGGGTCCCGATTTTAGAAAGGAACGCGCTCGTGGGCAGTTCTGCTGCTCTGTCAAAGTGAATTGTAATTTTTTTTTCCCCCCACAGATGGATGTGCATGGAAGAATAAGAGAAATCCTTGCTGAGACAATACGAGAAGAATTGGCACCTAATCAACAACATTTATCGACGGAAGATTTAATCAAGGCCCTTAGAAGGCGAGGAATCATTGATGATGTGATGAAGGAACTTAATTTTGTTACTGTGAGTAATGCTCTGCGGAGTTTGGAGTGGAAGCATCTTAGGCTTCCCCACTGCTTATGGGGTCTTTTCCCATACAACCACTTTAAAATTCTGGGTGTGGCCCCCCCAAAAAACATGTTTGCCTAGTAATATTCTTGTTTCAAGTACAAGCTAATGTAGCAGGCTTACATATCAATTAAACAAATGATAGACCACATTTCTCTAATGACAGGATTTCCTGTACATAAATGTAATTTTAAGTGTTCTTTTGTTCAACTAGTGCATCACCTCATTGTTTTCTTTTTCAATAACAATGGCTTATAATTATTTGTAGTTAAGAGTTTTTTATTTTTTACTCTTTATAGGCCACATGTGGTGATAGAGTTTTTTAGAATCCCTCTTGGCTGTGCTCAGGGAATCATAGTGCTGGGATTGAACCCCAGTGGGTCACTTGCAAGGCAGTTGCCCTTCCCACTGTCCTATCACTCTGGCCCTAGGATTTTTTTTTTAAAGAAAGACATTTGGAACTGTTTTCTCCATGATGGATGAAATCAGCAATTTCTTTTATTTAGTTTCTAAAATCTTTTTATTTTGTAGTGCCCGGATTGGAACCCAAGGCTTCATATTTGCATTGCATGCATTTTACTGTTGAGCCACGTCTATGACTCAAATGATGTTTCTTTAAAAATGTAAAAAATATAAAAGTATAAGAACCTTCTGGTATTTTCTTACAAATAGGCCAATAGTGGGATGATAATCTCTCAGTGCACAAAATAGTAAGTAGGACTTCTTTTGAAAATGAGGCAATAATGAGAAACTGTGACCTCAATTGTTGGGTAATGTAATGTAAAAATTGGATGGACTTCATAATACATCAGGGGATAAGTATTTTAGTACAGCATCCTTTTATAGTTTTTGAGGTTTATAAACCAATTTGTTAAAAAAAAAATTGACCTCGTCACAAGTTCTGCCATATGAATGTCACTTATTAAAATCTCTTTGTGGTGGAATCAAACCAAATGTTACATGAGTTTTGAAAAATGTTTAATCTTATTTAAGGTATTAGGGTTTGTTTTTAGCATCAGTCTTATTTGAAACCAATTAAGTTTTTCACTGTTGGATTTTAGACCTGACCAGTTACATCTTTATGTAGGCCTTTATTTTTATTATTTTAATTACAAAAAATGAGGTGTTTTAAGGACTCTATTTACTTCTAGTTCAGTGTTTAGTACCATTAGTGGTATTTTCTTTATTAGCTGTCGTATTTTTTTTCTAAATTGTTTTGATTTCTTTTTTAACCTTTACAGGAGACTGCTGATCAAGAAATCCCTTCTTCTCCAAAACAACCTGTATGTTTTCCTGATGGACAATCAACACTATTGAAAAAAAGTATGTGTAATTTTTTTCTTTTTTCATTAGTTGTGGATAGTGCTGAATGTTGATGTGATGTAATTTTTGGAATTTGGTTCCCACCCTCAGATTGAAATATTTAAATTTTTGTGGTTAATCTGTAGAAAAGTTTAGATTGTTTTGCACTAAGTATATATATAAAATACTACGTATTCTCTAAAATATGTATGTAAATACTTGGATATGTATACATACATATCCAAGTATTTACATATAATATATGTAAATATATTTAATGTATGGGGGATGGAGTGATAGCACAGCGGGTAGGATGTTTGCCTTGCATGCGGCCGACCTGGGTTCGATTCTTCTGTCCCTCTCAGAGAGCCCTGCAAGCTACCGAGAGTATCCCGCCCGCTCGGCAGAGCCTGGCAACCTCCCTGTGGCATATTTGATATGTCAAAACAGTAACAACAAGTCTCACAATGGAGACGTTACGGTGCCCTCTTGAGCAAATCGATGAACAGTGGGAGGACAGTGCTACAGTGCTGTATTTAATATATAGTAGAATAGAAAAAAAAACAGTACCACAGTTTTCTCAAATCTTAGTATATCTTCTGAAAATGTTCAGTCTTGGTTTTTCTCAGTATTGTGATTCTTTAACAGTTAGACTTTTGAGTTGATAATTGTCTGAGTTGGTTTGGAGAGGTGAAGGAATGTTGGGCAAGCAACAGAGGTGTAAGGATATCCCAGACATTGATTCTGACTCCTTTTCAACTAGGAGAAACATATTCTTATAAAAGATGGCACATTATATAGCTCTTCTCATGGTGCAAACGGTCCTGCCGCCCAGTAAATTTGTTATTCTTTGACTTTAGTTTTCAGTTTTCTGTCATTATTTTAGTTTTGTCATAAGTTATCATTATATGTCCAGTTAGTTCCTGTATCTTGATCACATTCCTTGACTTATTTGTCAGTATCCTCATTTATTGCTACACTTTACAGCTAATATTGATCCAACTCGGAGGTATCTTTACCTTCAGGTTTTGGGTGGAAAAGCTTTCTTGGAACATCTGCAAGAACCTGAGCCTTTACCAGGACAAATTTGTTCGACCTTTACTTTATGTTTACATTTTCGAAACCAACGTTTTCGTTCTAAACCTGTTCCATGCGCCTGTGAACCAGATTTTCATGATGGCTTTTTACTTGAAGTACACAGAGAAAGCTTAGGTAAGGAGCAATATAATAAAACGTCACTTGATTGAACAGTTTGGTTAGCTTTTATTATGAACAACTTTTAAAAACTTTCTGTGTTGGGCAGGGGAAATAGCTCATTGTAGAGCACATGGTTGGCATGTGCTGGACTCTGAATTCAATCCCTCAGCAGCATGGCGGGTGGTCCTGGGGGCCTCCATCCACTGCCGGGCCTGTCTAACTATTGAACCTCATTGCATTCAGCTCCTTATGGCAAGAACCTCTGTGAGTGGAATTAGCATTACTCTTTTACCCAGCACTGTTGGCTATGGACTCTATTTAAAACAAACAAACATAAAAAAGCCACCTTTTTTTTTCTGTAATGAGAATCTCTAGTTTTTTTTTCTTTGTTTTGGGGCCACATTTGGTGGTATTCAGGACTTACTTCTGGCTCTGTGCTCAAGGGTCACTCCTGGTGATGCTTGGAGGACCCATATGTGGTGCCAGGGATTGACCCAGGTCAGCTCTTGCAAGGCAGGCACCCTTTTTGCTGTACTACCTCTTTTTTTTTTTTTAACCCCATTCTACTCACTTCTGTATAAATTAGTTCTTTTCACCTTCTTGCTCTATTATCTGTTAATATCCCTAAAGAATAATTTTTGGCTGTCAGTGGTTGGCTTTTTAGAAACAAATGTTTAAAGGCTTATACATATAAGGGCCGAAGAGATAGGACAGCAGGTAAGGAACTTCCTTGCCAACTGGATTTGATCTCCAGTAGCCCATATAGTCCCATGAGCACCATCAAGAATGATGCTTGAGCATAAAACCTGAGCATAATCCTTGAGCACAGCTGTGTATAATCCAAAACCAAACTAAACCAAAACAAATGCCTATTATATACATGGCACAAGTGCTGGTGATATAGTGATGAAGAGTTATGATTTTTCTCATATATGAAAGATAACCTGGGCTGGAGCGATAGCACAGCGGGTAAGGTGTTTGCCTTGCACACGGCCGACCTGGGTTCGATTCTTCCGCCCCTCTCGGAGAGCCTGGCAAGCTACCGAGAGTATCTCACCCGCTTGGCAGAGCCTGGCAAGCTACCCGTGGTGTATTCGGTATGCCCAAAACAGTAACAAGTCTCACAGTGGAGACGTTACTGGTGCCTGCTCGAGCAAATTGACGAACAACGGGAGGACAGTGCTACAGTGCTATGAAAGATAACCATATATGATGTTTTGTCACTTAAAATTTAGATGTGAAAAGTGATGAAGTTATTATTTATGAAAAAAAGTACATGTTCACTTAAAAATTGAAATGTGAATCTTTATTTTTATAACCTTAGCTTTATTTTAGTCTTACAATTATTTTTAACCATTTCTTTTTATAAAGCATTTTATACATTTGTTAATACAGATATTTTTATATTTGTTAGGGTAGGAGAGATAGTACAGTGGGTAAGGTGCTTGCCTGGCTTGCAGCAAACTCAGGTTCATTCCCTGGCACCCCATATGGTTCCCCCCCTCTCCCCCAGCACCACCAAGAGTTATTCCTGAGTGCAGAGCCAGGAGAAACCTCTGAGCATCACCAGGTATGACCCAAAAACAAAAATTAAAAGCAAGAAAAATTTTTACATTTGTTAAACTAAATAAAGTTGTAGAATTAAGCCTTCTATAGTAAAGTTTTCTATTAACATGGTTAATGTCTACTCAAATAAATTTTTTTGTGAAGAATGTTTTTCTTAGTAAGTTTCGATGATTTAATTAATGTAATGGACTAAATTGCTAACTCCCAAAGATCTTTTAGTTTTGTGAGGATATTAATGAAGGTTTAGGAATAAGTGTAGTTTGGTATTTGAAAATTTTTTTTAAAACTGTAGTTTATACTTTTAGTTAAGTAGTATCAGAGAATATTTGCCTCTTTCAGAGCAGTATGCTGATGAGCATTAAGTAACTTGGTAACATGCCATCATAATCTCTCAGTCTTGTCAAAAGTTGAAAAAGGAAGATAGTTTTATTCCCAGTCTATTGAATGCTTTCTGAGGCATTGTCAAGTTATTTTTGGTTTTATACAAATTTGTTAAATTGTATTACTCTCAGTAAACTTGTTTGTTGGCCTGAATATGTGATGTATTGTATTTTTTTTTTTTTTGGTTACTTAGGTGATGGAACTAGAATGGCTGATTCAACAACAATGTTATCAATAAGTGATCCAATTCACATGGTGCTAATCAAAACAGATATATTTGGTGAGACCACTTTAGTGGCATCCTATTTTCTTGAATGGCGATCAGTTTTGGGCTCAGAGAATGGAATGACCAATCTGACCGTGGAACTTATGGGTGTAGGTATGATGATATTGCAGTTTCCTTTTTATAGCTATAATTTGTAAATGCACTTTGTGTTTTTACAGTATCTTCATAGACCAAGATGGAAATACAACAAATGAATGTTATTAGAATTACTTGTGTACTCTGGTCTTGTCTTGGGAAATAATTGATAATTTGAGTATAGCACTTCACTCTCAGTCTGGCCTTGAAGGTAGAAAAAATATTTTTCTGGGAAATGAATATGGAAAACTTGACACTTTCCTCCACCCTGAATTAATTTGATTATATGTAAGGGAATTAAATTTGATACACACATGCATATGCAAAAGTAAAGCTTTCAGTATTCCACAGGATTTAGTACAGTAGTGACTTTGTATAGTAGTGATTCTCACAGAATGTGGATTAGGTATTCTAACCTTTTCCATGGAAAGTGGGAGTTGACATTGTTCATGTCAGTTTCAGTGAATAATACTCCTTGAGGATAGAGGTGGTGATGTTTCTCTTATTTCTTGTTGTTTTCTTTGACAGCATAACCTTAGTTTTTCAGACCCAGAATGTTTTTCCTTAAATAAGGGTCATAACCGGAAAACTTTTTCTTAAAGAGAAAGATATCTTTTATAGATTTATTTTCAAAAGATACTGGTATTTTTCTTCACATGTAAACCTAACATGATAGTAATGACTTGAAAATTGGTACATTCTGATTCTTCAAAGAAATAAATATTAAGTAATTCTGGTATGACATTTCTTTTCTAATTCTTTTTTTTTTCTTTTTGGGTCACACCTGGCGAAGCACAGGGGTTACTCCTGGATCTGCACTCAGGAATTACCCCTGGCGGTGCTCAAGGGACCATAAGGGATGCTGGGAACCAAACCTGGGTCGGCTGAGTGCAAAGCAAACTCCCTACCACTGTGCTATTGCTCCAGCCCCACTTTTTTTTTCTTTTAAAATAATGCAGGAGTACTGCTATTTGCTCAGCCATTGATTAAGCTGATTGAATTGGGCATGAACTGCACATTACTTTTTTATTTTATTGTATCACTGTGAGGTAGAGTTACAAAGCTTTCATGTTTGAGATTTAGCCATACAATGATGAAACATCCATCCCTCCACCACGAATGTCCCAAGTATCATCCCACCTCACATACATACACATTGCAGTCCTCACTTGTCTCTATGGCAGACAGTTTCCCCAATACTCTCTAATTTGGGGCATTAATTTTGCTCGAATTTTCCCACCACCATTCAAGCCTACCTGTCAGGGGCAGATTCCAGATAATATATTTTCCGTAGCTCATTTCGAATATCACGAGAGCTCACGTGGGTGCGATAGTAAATGTAAATTTCTAGATTGTAAATAGTTGAGTTCCAGAGACATCTCTGTATGGCACTAATCCATTTTGGGATTCAACTGGGAGCCTCTGGGCCAGGGCTGTGGTGCGCCAAAATGGCATCCAGAGGCAAATTGTGGGCATGACAGCCAGTCTTCTGGGCAGGTGGTGACCTGGGGAGGAACAGCCCCGGTCCTCTGCCACCATGCGGCTTGGAGATGTAGTCCTAGAACCCACATACCCGGGCCTTGCTTGTGGAAGCTCTTGGTCACCAGGATTCCATCTGGAGTAGGCGGGGAGACTGCACCTGGTCCATCTGGGTGGCCCGGTGATATTCAGCCCCATCTTTTCTTTCCTTTTTTTTGGGGGGGGGGGTCACACCGGCAATGCACAGGGGTTCCTCCTGGCTCTGCACTCAGGAATTACCCCCGGTGGTGCACAGGGAACCATATGGAATGCTGGGAATTGAACCCAGGTAGGCCGCGTGCAAGGCAAACACCTTACCTGCTGTGCTGTTGCTCCAGCCCCCAGCCCCATCTTTTCTAATTCTTAAAACCTAGGCATGGATTGAAAATTTGTACTCACAACAGAAAGAATGAGGGATCACAAACTGACAAATGGAATAAGTATTTTCTCAGACTAAGGTGTTAACAGGTGCTTATTTATAAGTTTGGTTGGTATTACAGGTTTCATGACGAGAAAAACTAAGCTGTCCAAATCCCTCAGGTTTGAATAGTACCTTTAAAATTATTTTTTTTCCTCTTTTTTTTGGGTCACATCTGGCAATGCTCAGGGGTTACTCCTGACTCACGCACCCAGGAATTACTCCTGGTGGTGCTCTGGGGACCATACGGGATGCTGGGAATTGAACCCAGGTTGGCCATGTGTAAGGCAAATGCCCTACCCGCTGTGCTATTGCTCCAGCCCCTAAAATTTTAATAGAAAACTAAGAAAATAGGTAAAGTCTTATTAGATTAAAAAATAATTGCTTCTTTTTAATGTGAGTAATGTAAGTGGTGTTGAGTATTATCTTTATTCCATAGAAATGGGAGACCACTGACTTAAGTTGTTTTGGTTAGAATTTGGTTAGCTAAATATGTTGAGATCTCTGAAACTCTTAAATATTTATATTTATAGGTACAGAATCAAAAGTTTCTGTGGGAATTTTAAGTATAAAACTTGAGATGTACCCAACACTCAATCAGACATTATCTCAAGAAGTAGTGAATACACAGGTAAATAATTCAGAAATTTGGTGGTTTTTTTTTTTTGGTTGTTTTTTTTTTTTTTTTTTAATTTTGCTTTTGCTTTTGAACTACACCCAGCTTTTGAACTATACCCACTCAGGTCTTACTCTGTGTTCAGAGATCACTCCTAGTGGGTTTGGGAGAACATATGGGGTGCTGGGGATCAAGTCTGTATCAGCTGCATGCAAACCAAGTGCCTACCTGCTGTACTATCACTCCTGCCCCAGTAATTCTGAATTTATTTTCTTTGTGTATTTGTTTACATGCCTAGAAAAGACTTTTAAAAATTGTCACTAATTTTAAGCAAAATAATATTTAAAACTTTCTGTTTTGGGAGAAAAGGTCTTACTCATTGTTGAATCGATACAGAATTGTTACCAGGGGAATTGTAGGAAGAAGTCAGGGATAGAGAGAACACGAAGGTTAAGGCACATGCCTGACACAAAGCTTCAGATTTGACCCCAGTTCAAGTGTTTACACCCACCACTGAAAAAAGGTGGGGGGAGGGTGTTGGATTGTTATATCATTGAAATCCAATCATGAATAGCTTTGTAAATGTGTATATCACTGATTGAATTTAAAAAATAAAAATTAAAAAAATAGGAAATTGAGAGTCTCCTAGAGATAGAGGTGTTGGTGGTTTAGATTTCAGTAGGTGGCAGAGATGGAGAGAAGTGCATAAATTTGTTGCATATTTTGTAATTAAGGAGAATGACTAGAAATTTAAAAAAATAACATTTTTAAAAATTTTAAGCTTGCTTTGGAACGCCAGAAAACTGCAGAGAAAGAACGATTATTTCTTGTATATGCTAAGCAGTGGTGGAGAGAATATTTGCAAATTCGACCCTCACACAACTCACGGCTGGTTAAGATTTTTGCACAGGTTTGTAAAATTGAATTTTAAGTGTCATATCTGTGCTTGAGATTTACTGTTTCTTATGTAAATTTAACTTTTATTTGTAAAATGTGTTTACTCCAAATACTGGTTTAGTTTTAAAACATGACACTATTTAATTGTGTTTATTGAGATGCTAGAGAGATAGTACAGGAGTTAAGACACTTATCTTCCATACAGCCAACCTGGTTTGACTTCCAACACTGCATGTTGTCCCTTGTGAGTAGGTGAAGCTTGCTTCTGCCCTCTCACATGCCTTCCCCCCAGATTTCAGTTTTTTCCCTGAATTTGTGACATAATCTTCATTTTATTGCATTTCATTTTCACCTATTGCTTTTTAAACCCTTTTGAAGTAGATGTGATTTAAAGTTAACCAATACCTATTTTGTTTAGGGTGTCTTGATGGATATTAATTAAATACTTAGTATTGATTTATATGAAAACTATGCTTATTGTGTACATAGTGGTACTGTGCTTGTTTGTTTTTTAGTTTGAGTTTTGACTTTTTTTTTTGACAACTAGCAGTGCTTAGGGCTTTATTTCTGATGGTGCTCAGGACCATGTGGGCTGCTGGGAATCAAACCCAGGTTGGCCGCCTGCAAGTTAAGTGCCCTATCCACTGTACTCTCTCTAGCCCACAGTTTTTCTTTAAAGAAATATCCTAATGGGGCCAGACAGATAGTACCGTGGGTAAGGCACCTGCCTTGCACGTTGCCGACATGTGTTTAATCCCTGGTACTCATATGGTCTGAGCATGGCCAGGAATGAGCACAGGGGAGTGCTGAGCCTAGAAGAGTAAATCTTGAGTAACTCTGGGTATGGCCCAAAAAGAGAGTAAGGCATGTAATTCTGTAAAGCCAAGAACAATCTGCCTCTTTTTGCTCTATTTTAGTGCCCTTTTTTTCTTGTTAATAAACCGTTATGAAATACATCATCAGTATTTTATATAGGCCTGATAATGTATTTGTGTGTGTGTATATCTCTATATATACACACACACACAAATATATGTATATTTATATATTTTTGTTGTTGTTTGTTTCTCTTTGTTTTGGAGACACATCTGGCTGTGCTCAGGAATCATTCCCAGTGGGCTCAGGGGACCATATGGAATGATAAGGATCAAACCCATGTCAACCACATGCAATGCAAACACCCTATCTGTTATACTATCTCTAGCCCCTACCTGTATTTTTTTGTGTCTTCTGAGGCACTGTTCAGATAATTCAGGATCAGAATGTGACTTTGTGGTAGAGAGCTAGCTTTGTGTAGTTTTACCATTATCTGAACATTTTGTTGTTGTTCGTTTTGGGGCCACCCCTTTGGTTCTCAGTGCTGACTCCTTGCTTTGCACTCAGGAATTACTTCTCATATAGTTCTCAGGGGACCATATAGGATGCTCGGGATTGCCCTACCTGCTGTACTATCATTCCAGCCCCTGAAAATTGAGTATTCTTTTTTTTTTTTTTTTTTTTTTTTTTAGCTTTTTGGGTCACATCCGGTGATGCACAGGGTTTACTCCTGGTGGTGCTCGGGGGACCATATGGGATGCTGGGAATTGAACTTGGGTCGGCCGCGTGCAAGGCAAATGCCCTGCCTGCTGTGCTATCGCTCCAGCCCCTGAGCATTCTTATTTGGTATGATTTGGTAGATTCTTTTGATTGTCTGGGAATAATTACCACTAGTTGATATGGGAAAAAAAGAGCATTTTTAGATTCCCAAATCAGCATGACTACCATATCAGATCGAATAGGAATATTATACTTTGAAATAGCATGTGAAACATGTATTTTTTTGAAAATTGTTAAAATGGGAAGTGAGATATGTTAAAGATAATATTTTCCCCCTTCTTCCACCAGGATGAAAATGGAATTAATAGACCAGTCTGTTCCTATATTAAACCACTTCGTGCTGGCCGTCTACTGGATACTCCAAGGCAGGCAGCAAGATTTGTTAATGTGCTCGGTTATGAAAGAGCCCCTGTGATTGGAGGAGGAGGTAAACAGGAGCAGTGGTGCACTCTGCTGGCCTTTCTCTGTAGAAACAAGGTATTCTATACACAGCAAAGAATTTAGTAGCAATACCTAGTTTCCTGCATATGGTACATTTATTAAAAATAGAAATTTTTTTGCTCCTTGAATAAGTCAGAATCTGGTTTAGAGTTTTCTTAATGTTAAAATCTTAGTACATATCTTAGCATCTTTGTTTTCTCCCATGTTTTATTATTTAACTTAATATGATTTCTGTGAATTAGGGTTTTCCTGCAAGTAATACAATGTCAGAAACCAAGAGAAAGGGGTAAATTAATCAGCCAATAAAATCCTGTGCTAGGATTAAAACCATCTGCTTAGAGAGTTTATTGTTCTGAAAGAGAAAGTAGAAATGCAAATGTATATTGTGGAAAACCTTAGATTACATAGTACTTTTATTTAGTTTCATTATATGATACTTTGGTTTCAAAGTATATATTAAAAAGAATTAAACTTGTTATGTTAAAAATAAATGAATTGATTTCAGTAAACTTAGTTTTTTTTGTTGTTCTTGGGCAACACCCAGTGTTACTCAGAGATCACTTCTGGCATAGTTCAGGGGACCGTATGGGTGCCAGGGATTGAACCTGGTCAGCTACATGCAAGACAAGCACCTTACCTACTCTACTATCTCTCCACCCGCAGTAAACTAATCTGTTATGAGATATTTCAGTCCCCGGCACCCATATAATTCCCCAAACCTATCAGGAGTGATCCTGAGTGCAGATCCAGGAGTAAACCCTGATTTCAGCTGGGTGTGACTCCAAAACAAATTATTGTTATTAGAGTATTAGATATTATACATATTAATTTTTATCTTTGATGTTGAGCTTCTCCTGGCAGTACCCAGGGCTTACTCCTGACTCTATGCTGAAGGATTACAGTTCTGGTGATGCACAGGGAATTATATGCACTGCTGGGGATTGAATTGGGGTTTGCTGCGTCCAAGGCAAGCACCTTATACTCTTCCAGCCCCTGGGTATTATATTTTTAAAGTTACTAATTATAAATATTTTGTTTTATTGCAGTTAATTTGATCACAGTGGTATTGTAAATTATCAATGCATTAATTTGGAAGAAGTTCTAACACCTAACTCAATATTTATTTTTATTTTTGGTGTATTACTATAGTTCTTTGTTTACAAAGAATATATAATGAAAATATAGTTCTATTATATAGTTTTCAAATTTTTAAAAAAAATTTTTAATGAATCACTGAGATAGTTACAGGCTTACAAACTTTCATGATTAGGTCAATTATATAGTTTTAATTTTTTTCTTTTTTTTTTAAGACTATGAAGTGTGTGTGTGTGTATTTGTGCGTGTGTTGAAAGTATGAAATGGAGATCACCAAGTTAATAACTCAGCAATATGTGGGAGACAATACAATGCCAGGATCAGATTTGGTCCCTTGGTCCTCTGGGTTGGAGTGATAGTACAGTGCAGGTTTTGCCTTGCATGTACCCTGCTTGATCCCCAGGGCCTGCCAGGAGTGATCCTTCAGTGCAGAGCCAAGAGTAAGTCCTGAGAACTGCCAGGTGTGGCCCAAAAAACAAAACCAAAAATAAATAAATAAATAAATAAGACTTGGGTCTTTGTATGCTAGGCATGTACTGCAGACCTTGTGAGCGACACTTGTCCTTGTTTTTATGTTAGGTGGCTATAATTTTTAAGTTGTAAAATTATCGAAGAATTTGGAAAATAGAAAGTCCTGTAATAACCACCCTAATTATAGCTATTTGAGGATTTTTCTTATATATTTCTTTTAAGAGATTGTGTATAGATAAATACTATAACTCATTTTGAGTATTTTCCTGTTTTTGATATCTTGCTCGATAGTTTATCTGTTATGTCCTTCAGCTATTATCTCTAAGTATTACTGATTCTTTTTTTTTTTGCTGTTCAAGTTCTTGTTATGGAGGGTGGGGGTTCAAGTTTGGAGGCCATATCCAGTGATGCTCAAGGTGTTTCTTACTAAGGAGTGACCCTTGGTATGCTTGGGGGCCATATGTAGTACCAGGGATTCAAACCAGGATCCACCAGATGCAAGACAAATGCCTTAATTCTTGTACATTTTTTTTAATTTAACTTTTTATTGATTTTTTTAACTATAGGTTTGAGAGTCAGAACTGGAATATGAGCCAGTTCTTTGGGGCTGGCCAGTTCTTAGGTTCTTTTTTTTTATATATATATAATTTTTTTTTTATTAGTGAAACACCATGAGGTACAGTTGTAGATTTACAAATTTTTGTGCTTGGGGTTTGGTTATACAATGATCAAATACCCATCCCTCCACCAGTGCCCATTTTCCACCCCCATGGATAACATCCCTTGCCCCCATCCCCCCATCCCACCCTGCCTCTGTGGCAGGGCATTCCCTTTGTTCTCTCTCCTGTTGGGTGTTGTGGTCTGCAAAAGAGGCAGTGAGTGGCAAACATGTTCAGTCCATAGTCTACTTTCAACATGCATCTCCCCTCCTGGGAGGATCCTCCAGACACCCTTTATTTGGTGCTCCCTTTTCTATCTGAACTGCCCTTTCCCCTAGAAGACCCGGCTGGCCTCTAAGCTATGGAGTAATCCTCCTGGTGTTGATCTCAGCTATTCTTGGGTATTAATCTCATATTTTGTTACTTTATATCCCCCAGATGAATGCAATCTTTCTATGTCTATCCCTCTCTTTCTGACTCATTTCGCTTAGCATGATACTTTCCATATTGAATTCTTGTACATTTTTAATACCTGCTTTTGAACATGAATAGTTTCTCATACATAGGTTTTTAAACACTGACTTGTAAAATAATTTAGGCTTTCCCGAAATTGTTTTCTTTCCTTGTTTTAGGTTAAAACTGGAGTAATGATTAAAAAATTTAATAAGACTTATTATTTTTTTATTATATATCTATATATGTTTTTTGCTTTTTGGGTCACACCCAGCGATGCTCATAGGTTATTCCTAGCTTTGCACTCAGGAATTATTCCTGGAGGAGCTTGGTGGACCTTATGGGATGCTGGGAATCGAACGTGGTTCAGCAGTGTGGAAGGCAAATGCCTTACCCACTGTATTATCACTCCGGTGCTAATAAGAATTTTTATGGTAATTTTGTATTTAAATATAGCAGTCCCTTGCTTTTATTCATGGTTTTGCTTTCTGAGGTTTCATTTATCCTTATGCAACCTTAGTAAAAAATAAACTCTAGTAAAATACTTTGGAAGAGACACACCATATTCATGTAATGTTTAAAATTTTTTGGTGTCAAGAGTTAAACCCAGTGCCTCATTTATTAAAGCACTCGTTTTGCCACAGCTTCATCCCTGGCCCCCATGTCACCTCTATTATAGCATGTTGTTACAATTCTGTTATCATTATTAATCTGACGTTTGATTTAAGATTTATTACAGGTACAGAAGTATAGCACAGCGGTAGGGCGTTCGCCTTACAAGCGGCCAACATGGCCGACCCGAGTTCGATTCCTCTGCCCCTCTCGGAGAGCCCGGCAAGCTACCGAGAGTATTCGATATGCCAAACACAGTAACAACAAAGTCTCCAATGGAGACGTTACTGGGCCCGCTCGAGCAAATCGACGATCAACGGGAGGGCCTTTACCTTTACCTTTACAGAAGTATAGAAAAAATGTAGCATATGTAGTTTGTACTATCCATAGTTTTAGGTGCTTACTGGGGGGTCTTGGATTATTTCCTCTTGTGGGAAAGGGATTATTGTGGGGCTGGAGAAATAGTAAAGGGAATCCAACCAGAGTCAGCCATGTGCTGGATTCCCAGCATGCCATAATTCCACTGAGTACTACCAGGAGTGATTCTTATACACAAGCCAGGAGTAAGCCCTAAGCACAGTTGGGTGTGGCCCAAAAATTAAAAAAAGAAAAAAAGGATTATTGTGCTTAACTTGGGATGGAGCAATAGCACAGTGGTAGGGCGTTTGCCTTCAAGCGGCCAACATGGCCAACCTGAGTGTGATTCATCCGCCCCTCTCGGAGAGTCCGGCAAGCTACTGATAGTATCTCGCCCGCACGGCAAAGCCTGGCAAGCTACCCGTGGTGTATTCGATATGCCAAACACAGTAACAATTGTCACAATGGAGACATTACTGGGCCCACTCGAGCAAATTGATAAACAACGGGAGAACAGTGACAGTGACAGTGCTTAACTAGGTAATACTATGAAGGAATAAATAATTTTAATTCATTGTATTTTTAGGGTGACTGTGAAGATCATGCTAATCTCTTGTGTAGCCTTCTTCTTGGCTATGGACTAGAAGCCTTTGTCTGCGTTGGGACTAAAGCAAAAGGAGTACCTCATGCCTGGGTTATGACTTGTGGAACTGATGGAACCATCACTTTTTGGGAGAGTTTGACAGGACATAGGTTAGTTACAAGGATATTAGAATGAAGATGTATTACTGTGCCTCCACCACTACCAAACTGTTAAAGGATCCTCCACATCTGTCCTGTCACCTCTAGTCTGCCTTTTTTTTCCTGACTCCCTTACCCAATCTCCCCCCAGGATATATATACATTAAATTATAGATTTTGGGGGCTGGAGCAATAGTACACTGAGTAGGATGTTTGCCCTACATTCAGTTGACCCGGGTTCAATCCCCGACATCTCATATGGTCCCCCAAGCACCGCCAGTAATTCCTGAGTGCAGAGCCAGGAGTAACCCCTGAGCATCATTGGGTATGACCCAAAAATAAGCAAAAAAAATTACATATTTTGTTTCTGTTTCTGTTATTCAAAGGTACATGCTGGTCATTTTGTTAGAGCCTTTCAGAGGTAAAAATGATTTCAATTAAGATGTCTTCATAGGGGGCCTGGAGATGACTCATAATGTTGGAGTGCTTGCTTTGTGTCAGTGAGCCCCCAGGTTCAGTTCCCAGCACTGTGTGGCCTTTTGATCACCCATAGCAAGAAATTTCCTCCCCTACCCACACCATCAGCTGTGACCCAAAAACAAGCCTATGTAAATAAACTCTTAAGGAAATGTTTTATCTGAAATATTCTTTGTCAGTGTGATTTTGGTGATAATAAAATTTACTTTAAATGTTGCATAATTAGTATGTGCGTTTTCCTGATGGTTATTCCTATGCCTGAAAACTCATTTAAAATTTTAATTTATGGGGTCAGAATGAGAGTACAGCTGGTAGGGTATTTGCCTGGCCCAGGGCACCCACATGGTCCCCAAGCACTGCTGGGAATGATCTGTGAGCACAGAGCCAGGAATAAGCCCTGAGCACCACCAGGTGTGGTTCAAGAACATAAAAATAATGTATTTCTTTGCTGGGGGTGGGGGGGGCTTGGGGAGAGGAGAAGTGGGTTAGGCTAAACTTCGTGATTGGGGGCTACTCCTGGCTTTGTGCTCAGGGGTTGCTCCTAACAGTTCTTCGGGGACCATTTGGGGTGCTGGAAGTTAAACCACAGTGAGCCATATACAAGGCAAGCAAAGTGCTTTAAACCTCAAACCATCTCTCTGGCCCTTAAATCTTTGTTTCCGGCTTGGAGCCATAGTATAGCATATAGGGTGCTTGACTTACATATGACTGACCTGGGTTTAATCCATATGGTCTCCCAAGCAGCTAGTAGTGATTCCTGAGTGCAGAACCAGGAGTGATCCTTGAGTAACATTGAATGTGCCCCCCCCCCCCCCGTCCCCCTCCTCCCAAAAAATGTACTTCTTTAAAATTTGATATGGTCACTACTCTAGTTGGTAAGTTCATAGGACATTTTTTTTTTCTGTTCTTTTATTTGTATTCAATTTTCAAAAGTTAAATGTTTCCTCCCTCCTTGAATAATCTCTACTTCTCTCAGTGCTGTCTTTAAATTTTCCTTCCTGCTGGTCTCAGTTTGCCTTCATCTTGTCTTTAAATGTTGGTACTCCTAACAGGACACCTCTGGGCCCTCTTTTGAATTTTCCTGTATTTTGGGGGCCTGAGTGATAGTGATAATGGGTAAGGTCCTTGCCTTTCATGCGGCTGACCCAGGTTCGATCCTTGGCATCCCATATGGTTCCCAAAGCATTGCCAGGAATAATTCCTTAGTGCTTAGCTAGAAGTAAGCCCTTAGCATTGCCAGGTGTGGCCAAAAACAAAATGAACAAAAAAAATTAATTTCCGTGCATTCTTTTTTTTTCCTGGTGATTAATCATTTTTATTATGCCTAATAAAATACTGCTGAACTAGTTTTGTATTATATGAGATAATGTTTTTGTCTTTCATTTTGGGAGGGATGTGGGGTTCTCACATCAGAGGGTGCTTGAAGGACCATGCAGTGTTGGAGATGAAACCCAGAGCTCCTGCATGTAAAGTACGCCTCAGCCTTTTGAGCCATCTCTTTAGTAATCAATGGTTTTTTTCCTTAATCTTAACAATATCCATAGAGGATATTTTTGTGCATAAGAGTAAAGTTGGCCTCTATATTATGAGATGTAAAAATATAATTAGTTACTGGTGCCCGCTCAAGCAAATCGATGAACAACGGGAGGATGGTGCTGGACTGAGGAGTAATTCATACTGAAAATGCAGGAAGGAAACACAAGTGTTGAACAGTGGTCTTAACTAAGTAGTTAAGTATTAGAATGTTATTTTTCCGGAATAAGTTGCTGCCTTCTTTTCCATTCCTAGTTTATAAAATTATGATTTAATTCTTTCTAGGTATATCCACAAATGTATTAATCCTGATGAACCTCCAGTTCCTGACCAGCCCAAACCATTGTACCCATATCGAACAATTGGTTGTGTCTTCAATCATCAGATGTTCCTGGGAAATTGTCAGCCCTCTGATTCAGTAGACGTCTGTGTATTTGATTTGAACGATGAATCCAAATGGAAACCCATGAGTGAAGAAGCAATTAAGTCAGTGTGTGCTCCAGGAGCTACAACAGCCCTTCCTCCCTTTCCTCCTCTCTGTGCATCCACAATTGATGCTTCAGTGACAAGTAATGAAATCGAAATGCAGCTAAGGCTACTAGTGTCAGAACATAGGAAGGTAATTTATACCAGAATTTGTAGAGTTTTGCTTTTATTTTTTTGTACTTGTTTTATGTATTTAACAATTTTGGGCGTATTTATTTATAGTGATAATCACTGTTCTTGACCTAAACAAAGTGATACAATCCCTTATTTGATAAGTTTCGATTGATAAAGCTTATCATTTGAAAGTTGTGAAAGTTGTGAGACTTAAACATTTCCAAATGCACACTATAGTATAACCACCTTTTTGCCTTTTTATTTTTAAATTATTCTATTCATTTTTATTTATATTGGGTTTGGCTTCCAGCACTGCATGATCCCTCAAGCACTTTCTGATGTGAGAACAATACCTCACTCCCCTCAAATGTGCAGGACACTTTTGATAATGCTCAGGGGCTACTCCCTGCACTGCTTGTTGGTCACTCCCAGCAGTGCTCTGGTGGCATGTGCCAGGGATCAAACCTTCTGTAGGCAAAACATGTGCTCCAACTTTATTTTAAAAATGAAGTATGGTATGCTTGTTTAGACTTTGGCTAAATACAACTTTAACTCTTGTGAAGTGCTTTTTCACATTATTCCGCTTCCAGAGTATTGGGCTGGGCTGGAGAGTTAGCTTAGGAGATAAGCTGCTTGCCTTATATACGGCCAGCCGTGGTCCAGGTTACTAGCACCATATATGGTCCCTTGAATAAAACTAGGAGTGACTCCTAAGTACTAGATGGTGTGGCCTCCAAACGAAACAAAAAAATAATGAGTTATACTTTGCTCATTTTTTTCCATATTGGTTTTGTCTGTGGTGTTTGCTGTTGTTAATTTTACTAACATGGATAGATATTATACCCTCACTCTGCTTTAATGTGCATTTCCCTTATTACCAACAAGATCAAGCTTATTAGCCATTTAGATTTCTTTTTTTTTTTTTGGTAAGTACTTTAAAAGAGAAATAGCATGGGACTAGAGAAACAGCACAATGGGTTAAGGTACTTGCCTTGTACATAGCCAACCCAGTTTAATCCTGAGAACATCGCATATGGTCTGCAGAAGAGTTGCCAGGAATGATTCTTGAGCACAGAGCCAGAAATAGACCCTGAGCACAACTGAGTGTAGCCCAATAGCAAATAGAAAACAAGAGAAAAAAAATTGTATGTTAAGAAATTCAGTTCAGGGGCCAGAGCGATAGTACGATGGGTAGGACGCTTGCTTACATGTAGCCAACCTGGATTCCATCCCTGGCATCCCATATGGACTCTCAAGCACCACCAGGAGTGATTCCTGAATGCAGATCCAAGAGTAATCACAGAGCATTGTTAGGTGTGACCCAAAAAGATTTAAAAAAGAGAGAGAGAGAGAGAGAGAGAGAGAGAAATTTTGTTCAGTGCCAGAGCAATAATAGTGTTGGTAGAATGTGTTGCCTTGAAATGTGTTGGTAGAATAGTGTTGCCTTGAATGTGGCCAACCTGGGTTCGATCCCAGGCACCTCCTATGGTTCCTCAAGCCCTTACAGAGGTGATCCCTCAGTCAGAGCCAAGAGTATGCCCTGAGCATTGCTGGGTGTGGCCTAAAACAAAACAGTATGTTAATTAGTAAAAGTAGAACAATGAAATTATAGACCATGGTGTGGGAAAAAAATATTTGCAGCACACACAATCAACAGAAATAGAATCCCAGATACAGGACCTTTAATTCTAGTTTACCTTTGGGATTCTCCAGTAGTCTTTCTATTTGGGTGTGCCTTGTTTTTCTGTTCCTTGAGGTCATCACAGGCGAAATGATTTGTTAGATTATTTTCAGAGCTACTAATTACTCTTAACTTTGGCTTGTAAATTATTCATTACTCACTTGCTGAGTCATCAAGGCATTAATATGTTTTGGAAAATACCTAACCTGGCATTTGTAATATGTTTTCAGTAGTAGGTTGTTCGGACCATCCTATTACACTACTAGTCATGAAAGACCATGTTTACTCATTTTTTCCAGCCATTAATTTAGTTAGTTTTCTTAGATGTTCTCTAACAAATGAGGCCATTAGTTTTTACATTATAAGAATTTTATATAGAAAAAGAAAGAGAGCTGAGCTAGATTCAATTTAGGGTGGATCACTATTTTGTTTAAATTTATTGTTTACAGAGCTGTTTATGATTGAATTTCAGTCATACAGTATTCCAACACCCATCCCTCCACCAGTGTACATTTCCCAGCACCAGCACCAGTGTCCCCAGGTTCCCTCCCATCACCCCCGACTCTATACCTGCCTCTATGGCAGGTGCTTCTCTCTCTCTCTCCCCCCCCCCTTCTCTTCCTCCCTCCCTCCTTCCCTCCATCCCTCCCTCCTCCCTCCCTCCCTCCCCTTCACTCTCCCAACCCCCTTTTTGGGCACTGGTTTGCAATATTGTTACTGAAAGATTATCCAGAATATTCCTTACCTACTTTTAACCCTCAGCTCTTGTCCAGCATGTGGATCACTATTAATGGGGACTAAAATCTAGCAAGTGAGATTCGCTTTCTTGTCACAGGAAAAGTGTAAATCAACGTGTATCTTTGGAATTGGTTGGAACTAGTTAAACACTTGAACGTGAAATCAGGAAATGCTAAATGTCTATTATAATATTTAGAATTATGGTTTTTTAATTTTTAAAAAATTTTATTTTGGGGCCATACCTAGCAGTGCTCCAAGTCTACCTAGCATGTTTGTTGGCTTGGGACCAGTTGGTGCTGAAAATCAAACCCCTGTCTTTTGTAAGCAAAGTGCACTCTATCCTTTTGAGCTATCTTTCTCACCCACAAGCTTTTTTTTTTTATGACTTTTTTTAAAAAGTGCTACTGTAGTTCATTTGTTATAATTGAATCCATAATTTCCTTCATTATTCTATAGAAGTGGGGGGAGGGGCCACAACCCGCTGTGATTAGTGCTTATTACTGGTTCTGTGCTCAGGAATCTCTACAGGTGGGCTTGGGAGACCTTATAGGGTGCCAGGGATCGTGCCAGGGTCAATGACATGCAAGACAAGTGCCCTACCTTCTATATTATTTTACTGGTCTCTTAGAAGCATGTTTTAATCTCCCTGAAGGTCTGTAAGTATTAAAATTGGTGCCTTTATTATAGAGTAAATGCTCAGGTAATAGCATTTAATTATCTATACAATTTGCTGACTTTCCTACTGCGTTTACATATCTTTATGATAGGAACAATCAAATTAAGCATATTCAGAAGAACTAAAACTCTTTAAAGTTAAGTAGAATTTAACTTTCAAGTGTGCTGATGTTATCCCTTACACAGAGGGCTGCTAGTCCATGTAGTCTAATAGATATTAAGGAGATACAGGAGTTGGAGCATTTATGAATGTTGTTTCTTTGATGATTTCTTTGAGAAGTGAAACCTAACACCCATAATTTTGTTTGTTTTTATATTATGTATCCTTCTGGCAATAGAAAGTTTCAACAATGACAGGTTTTTTATGGTTCTTGGTGTATATATTAAAGTAGCCATTTCATTGTAGTTGGAAAATCTGAATATGTGATTGACCCTTGAAAACTTGGGTTTTTGAGCTGCACTCATCTGTGTGTGGATATTCTTATAATAGAAACATATGTTAATGTAGAATAGTACTTTACATATATTTTCTGATGATTTTCTTAAAATACCTTATTTTCTCTAGCTTTATTGTTAGAGTATATTATATAGTGCATATAACATACAAAATGTGTATGAAGTTAATATTTATGTTACAAGTAAGGCTTCCGGTTAACAGTAGACTTTGTTAACTGTTAACTGGAGACAGAAGTAATATTCAGATTTTTCATTTCACAAGGACTAAGCAACCTCAACTGAGTTGTTTAAAGAACAACTTTCCTTTTTTCCTCTGATTACTACAGGATCTTGGCCTCACTACTGTTTGGGAAGACCAGCTTTCTTATCTTTTGTCACCAGCCTTGGCTTCTTATGAATTTGAGCGAACAACAAGTATATCTGCAGGCAACGAAGAATTTCAAGATGCCATAAGGAGGGCTGTACCTGATGGTCACACATTTAAAGGATTCCCGATACATTTTGTGTATAGAAATGCAAGGCGTGCATTTGCCACATGTCTTCGGTAAGATGGAATTTATAAACTAATGTTTATAACTTAAAACTTCAAAATCACATTTGTAATTTAGGGATGTAGAAACGGGGACTGGAACAAGAGTACAGCAGGTAGGATGCTTGCCTTGCTCGTGGCCAATCCAGGTTCTATTCCTTGGCACCCAGTTGGTCCCCATGCTCTGTCGGAGTAATCCCTGAGTGAGTGCAGAACCAGGAGTAAACCCTGCGCATAGTCAGGTATGGCCCAGCCACACCCTACCCCCCACCCCACCCAAAAAGGAATGTCAAAATATAAAATAACTCTTTCTGTTTGGGGTCTATACCTGGTTGTACTCAGGGCTTACTCCTGACTCTGTCCTCAGAGGTCACTCTTGGTGGGCTGGGGGACCATATGGGTGACGAGGATTGAGATTGGCCGAAATCAAGCTAGTTTACCTGCTGTACTGTCTCACTGGCCCCTTAGGTTCTCTTCTTAATTGAATAAGGAACTTTTACAATAACATTTCCCCTTTCTACAGAATTTGATTCATTGGGTTTGAAAGATAGTTCTAAATCCTGTAAGATCATTTTCCCATTAATTTTAGTGTAGTCTCATTTGAGCATCTATAATTTTTAAAAAAATTTGTAGACGATGAGGAAATAGTAATTTGAATAGCTCACCCGAAGTTAGAATTGTTGGTAGCAATAACAGGGTTTTTTTTTCCAATAAGAAAATAAGAGGTCAGAGATGAGGCTGTTATTAATGCTCCAACCTTAATGTGCATGAGGCCCTGACCACACAGTACCATATAATAAATAATAAACATAAGAAAGGAATTCTTAGGGTCAGTTTTTTTTTTAAGTTTCAAATTTGGAGGCCATACTCAGTGGTTCTCAGGGCTTACTCTTGGCTCTGCAGTTCAGCCACGTGCAAGGCCAGCACCCTACAGACTGTACTGTCTCTCCGCTCTCAAGGTTCTCCTCTGAACTGAATTCAATTCCTTCTATAGGTCTCCTTTTTGTGAAGAAATAATCTGTTGCCGCGGAGACCAAGTACGTCTGGCTGTTCGTGTCAGAGTGTTTACTTACCCTGAATCTGCATGTGCTGTTTGGATCATGTTTGCTTGTAAATATCGCTCCGTATTATAGAACTAGTATTTCTATTAGAAATAACCTGTTTGTTAGAATTTTACATTTGTACATTGCTAACTGTTAGAGTTATTTTCAAAACAATCTAAATTGGATGTCATATCAATTTTGTATATACCTGATAATGTTTAAAAATATAATGTATTTAAATTAAGGATGAAAAACTTGTATAAATCTGAGTGTCATTTAGTATAAATTAAGTGTATATTATATTTTAATAAATGCTATTTTGTTTACAGATATTCAGTAGTTTAAATACAAATAGAGTATATACTCAGTTTTCTTTAAATTAATCTATAATTAGGATATTAGTCTAAGAACTTGAATCATATTAAAATCAATGTGATCATTATTTTTCAAAGATTAACAAGATCATTTTATACAAATTAGAAGAACTTGACTTTTCAAAAGATTTATTTATATATAAGTAAAAATACATTTTTTAGGGGCCAGAGTGATAGTACAGTGGGTAGGATGTTTACCATGCATTGGTGACCTGGGTTTGATCCCCGGCATCTCATATGGTCCCCTGATCACTGGCAGGAGTAATTATTGAGTGCAGAGCTGGAATAACCCCTGAGCATCACCAAGTGTGGCCCAAAAATCAAGCAAATAAAAATAAACATTTTGATGAATTACCACTTTTGTGGTTATCAGTGCTCATAGGAATATTTGTGACTTTTTAATAGGTTGATGGGAAGACTGTTACAAAATAGGGATAATTACCAGAAAAGCACAAATACTAATAATAAAGCAAGTTAACTATACGAGAACATGAATTGTTTATAAATATGTGTTTTTTGCATGAATTGGGTGGTTTGAAATAATTTTATTAGACACCTCTGTTACAATACGGATCAATCAATCACAATCACAACCATCCTGTTATTCGTTGATTGCCTCGAGCAGGCCCCAGTAACGTCTCCTTTGTCCTAGCCCTGAGATTTTTTTTTAAAAGAAGTGCCATATTCAAGGCTCTTTCAGAGTTAGGAGAATGAGACCCTTCATTGTTACTGGTATTTGGCATATCAGCTACGCCACGGGGAGTTTGCCAGACTCTGCCGTGTGGGCAGGTTATACAATACTGATAAATATTTTTCATAATTAGCATTGGAGTCTGCTGATTTTCTGTGGTCAAAGACTTCTTTACTAGCCTTTTCATGGATTCATTCTATCTTTTGAAATCACAGCTTTTTTCTTTGTGATAAAAAATAATCAAAAATAATCAAATCATAGAATCAAAGCTTACTAAATGAGCTTTTCTGAATATCTTGATGCTTTTATGTTTTAAAATTGAATTAGCTTTAAAAGTGAGCATGAAAAAGTCTATAGAAATTTGTGCTTTTCTTAAGAAACTTCATGATATTAAGTGACATAGGTTGGATTGTTCATCTTTTATTTAAAAGAAATTTTATTTTAGATACCTTGGTTTTAATATATGTGTGTGTATACATATATATATATACATATATATATATAGTGTGTGTGTGTGAGAGAGAGATTTATTTTGGACATAACAGGTGGTGCTCAGGCCTCACTCCTGCTCTCTGCTCAGGGATCAGTCCTGGTGGGGCTCAGGGGACTATTTAGGGTTCAGAGGATCAAACCCTGGTTCAGCTGTATATAAGGCAAGCGCCTTATCTGCTCTTCTATCTCTCCAGCTCCTATAATACTGTGAATGGTAGGGTTTCTTGCATTAGTCATTACACGTATGTAGTTAATTCACTTTATTGGTTTTCTTAGGAAAGTAATTGTATTTCAGTTGGGTGTACAGATTATTCTTTTCATCACTTTATTTCACCATTGTAAATAAAATGACTTAAAGGCTTTCTAAATTTATTTATTTTGGGTGGTACCAGGGATCAAACCTTGAGCTTCATACGTGAAGTTTACCACTAAGCAGCATCCCCAGCCTTAAATTATTATAAAAATAGTTTTAAATTAAAACCTAAACATATCTTAAAGTATACTTTTTGTTTTATTTTTATATATGAAAAGTATAATTTGTTATGAAAACCTGAAAAATACCCTTCTTCTGTGTGAGTCTGATGTGACTTTAGAGAATTAGCAAAGTAAGAATTAAGGGGTCTGGAGAGACAGTACAGTGGCACAGTGCTTTCCTTGTGCATGGCTGACCCAGGTTCAATTTCCAGCACCCATATGGTTCCCCTAGCCATGCCAGGATTGTTCCCTGAGCTTGGAGCCAGGAGGAAGTCCTGAGCACCACTGGATGTAGGTTAAAAACAACAAAGAGAAAGAAGGTAATTTTACTCTGTGGCAAATATTACTCATAAAGCAACTAGCAGAAAATTGTAATTTTCAACTTTTAAGGACCTATTATGAGACTGGCTTGAGATCAAGGCTGTATTATTGGAGGTTGGCATGTGTTGTGATTCACCTTTGGTATAAATCCTAAAATTTGCTTCTATGCATTAGAGTCCTGGAAGGAATACCTAGATTTTTCTAAAGGTGGTTTGGTGATTTAGTTTGAAAAAATTACTTCAGTGCATTTGGCAATAAAGAATATCTTGCTACTTATAATCTTTGAAAAATTAAGCTTACTTTATATGCTTAGGTCTGTTGTGAGTTTATCTATTAAAAACAAATTTTTATATGATGTCTCTAATGTGTTCTTTATGACAATATGTGCACTTAGTCCTTATATATGACATATTTTATATATATTATGCAGCAAAAGAATATAAATAAAATTAGAAATTTCACTATTCAATGTATGAGCCTATTTAATAAAATTTAATAAATTTAGTTCTAACTGAATGATCCAAATTCCTTCCTCCCCTAGTTGTTAGGTATATATTTTTCTGTATGTTTTACAAAATCTATAGCCTGGAAATTTGAAAAGTACACACATTTGAAACCTGTTTTTATACTCTGTCCTTTTTTCCTGTCTTTTTGGGCCACACATGACAATGCTCAGGGGTTAGTCTTGATTCTTCGCTCAGTAATTAGTTCCTGTGGTGCTCAGGAGACTATCTGGGATGCCAGGGATTGAACCTGGGTCCGCTGCAGCCGTGTACAAGCCAAAACACCTTACACCCTACCCGCTGTGTACTATCTACTCCCTTCCCATTACTTTATGTACACAATACTTATGTACCATCAACAGCTTAAACTAGCCCATTTATTGTTCTGTGTTCTGTACTAAACAAAAAAATCAGTCTCTTAGGCTAGAGTTAGTTTGCAGTTTCATAAATTTTGACTCTTGGATAACAATTTTGTACTCTACACTTAGGTAAATATAGAAATTAGATGATATTTTCAGACTTGCACTTACCTTTTTACCAGTAAAAATAGCTGTTCCCAGCTGTTGGTAATTGAGAAATAATTTAAGATTAACCATAGTTAAATCTTTAAAAGTAAAATAATCAAACACATACACTAAGAACCTATTCAATTTCGAAGAACTTTTTAGCATATCATTTATAGCATAGTTTATATTTGCATGCAAGTTTAGTCATATTATTAATATATTTGAGTGTGGTATTTAATGCTCAGGAGTTACTCCTGGCTCTGCACTCAGAAATTACTCCTGGCATTGCTCAGGAAACTATATGGGATATTTGTTCTGATATTTCTTCTGATATTTGTTTGGAATAAGGTAAAGGTAAAGGTAAAGGCCCTCCCGTTGATCGTCGATTTGCTCGAGCGGGCCCAGTAACGTCTCCACTGGAGACTTTGTTGTTACTGTGTCTGGCATATCGAATACTCTCGGTAGCTTGCCCGGGCTCTCTGAGAGGGGCAGAGGAATCGAACTCTAGGGCTAGAGCGATAGCACAGCCCTTTTGTTTGGAATATTCATTGTTATTATGTTTGAATTATTTTTAGTTTGTGAATTCAGCACTTGACATTGGGTTGATATCACCATGGATATTGCAAGGGAAGCAGGAAGTTATTAACTGGCAATTTTTTTTTGGGGGGAGGGGGTCACACCCAATGGTGCTCAGGGAATCACTCTTGGTGGTATTCAAATACCATATGGGATGCTGGAGATAGAAACCAAGTTTGCTGTGTGCAAGGCAAGTGACCTACTTGCCGTACTACCGTTCCAGTCCCTGGAGTGCTTGCTTTGCATGGCTCTGCTTTTGAGGATCATCTGGTGGGACTGAGGGAACCATAAGTGATATCGGGGATCATACCCAGGTCAGCCATGAGCAAAACAAGCACCCTACCTGCTGTATTATTACTCTCGCACCCAGTTTATGTATCTTTTCATTGTGTTGGTTTTGATTTATTAAATCCAGGGGTATGAAGGTATCCTGCATTTCTAAGAGTTTTATAGTTTCAGCTCTTAAATAGGGTGCTCCATTTTTACCACAGTTTTGTGTGGTAAGGGTCTAAAAATTGTTAAAATTATTGGTAAGGGTCCAATAATTTCTCCCCCATTTGGTGTTTGTTTTGGATTTTTTTGGTTTCGTTTTGATTTGGGGCTACACCTTGTGGTGCTCAGGGGTTACTCCTGGTTCTGCAGTTAGGAATCACTCCTGACAGGCTCAGGGGACCATATGGGATGCTGGGAATCAGACAAAGTTAGCCTTGTGCAAGGCAAGCACCTCACCTGCTTTTATCAAGTAGGCCATCCCCAATTTGGTTTTGGAGACTCACCCACCTGTATTCAGGAGTGACTCCTGGTTCAGAGGTTGGGGGTTGCTCCCAGCTGTGCTCAGAGGACTATCAGTACCGTGTGAATGGATCCCAGGTCTCCTGCATGCAAAGCCTGTGCTCCAGCCCTCTGAGCTATCTCTTAAAGGTCCCCAGCATCATTCTTTTGCATATGAATATCCAGTTTGCTCTTAAAACCAGTCATCAGGATTAAGTGATAATTCACTGATTATAGAGTGTCTTCTATAGATGTTCATATACTGGATTTTTTTTTCTAATGAATGCTTGTGTAGTGAATGTATGTGTTTGTGCATGCATTGTTGGGGATTGAATCCAAGGCCTCTGGCAGGCTAGACAATATCTACTACAGAAAGGAAAATGACTCACTATGGAAGGGAAATCAAGGGATGGGTTGTCAATACTTGGAGGTTACCTTGCAAACTCCCTGTCACAGATGACTATAAAGCTCTTAATTTCTTCCTTCTTTGACATCTTAAAATAGATTGTCCAAAGACAAGTACTTAATCCAAAGAGAAGTACATATTCTTGTATTTAGTTCTAATATCTCTCTCTCTCTCTCTCTCTCTCTCTTTCTCTCTCTCTCTCGTGCCCATGGAATAAAATAAGGGCTG